ATGTTCCGGGCGCGGAACATGTTCCTGTTGTTGGGCCTGTTCCACCTGCTCGACTTGTTCCACTCTCTCGCTGTCCTGCTCGTCGTCATGGCGACGGTCACTGGACGCTGTGCCATTGTCCGCTTCAAGTGACACAAACTCGTAGCTTTCATCCACTGACTGCATGCTGAATAAATAAAACACATTGTCATTGAAACATAATCTTTTAAAAATAGTTTTGACGTAATTTCCATTATCGAAGTAAATATGCAGACCAAAAAAAAATTCACATTGTCCTTTCTACTAAGACTAGTGTTTAAAAATGTTTTTACGTCAGTCGACTTCTTACGATGAAGAAAAACATCGTGATGGAACCTGGGCATATCTGTGAAGATATTCAAAGATATGTGTGTAGTCAACCAACCCCCACAGGGCCAGCGACTATGGCCTAGTCACCCCCAACTTAAGGTAGGCTCCGAGACCTTCAGTGGGGACGTATAGTGAGCTGATTATGAAAGTATTGTTCATGTGTTCGCTATGTGTAGAGTGACATTCTCACCTCTCATACGAGAGCACGGACTGGTAGCTGTCGTTGAGCGAGACGCCGTTTTCGTTGTTTGCGAGCGAGGCGTGCGGGGCGTGCGGGGCGTGTGGGGCGTGCGCGGAGTGTGGGGTGTGTGACGTGTGGGGCGCGTGCGGGGCGTGCGGCGACAGCATGGCGACGATCTCCTGCGCCTGCTCGTCCGACAGCAGGCCCTCTTGTCTGTGCAATACAAACATTATGTTACAGTTAAAGCTTCTATTAAAGCGGAATCCGGATTCTAGAACTAGCATCTCTTATAACGAAACGCAGAACTAAAGACAATAAGGCTTATAAAATTAACATAAAATAGATAGATGTTTACGTACTACGTACGATTAAGCGAACTCAAATACAATAATTTGTAATAGGAAAAAAATATTTGCGGAACCCAATAACAGGCATGCACGATCTACCTTTAGTAAAATAAATTGCGTTTACATAAATTAGATCTACACATCGTCTACAACTAATTTAATCTACAAAATCTAAAACTACGTATAAAGCGGTCTTACCTAAGTTTTTTCTCCAGAATGCTGCAAATGTGATCGGGCAAGAATGAAGCGTTGTGCGCACAGGCAGCATGCAAATGGTAAAAAATACGACATTTAATTTTCATAACAAGCATAAAGACTCAAATACAAAGGAAATTACAGAATAACGTTATATATTTAGAAAGGGCAGAAGAAAAGAAATAGCGTGCTAAATTAAAATATTTGAATAATACACTAATAAAAAAGGTAAGATAATAAATTAAATTTAGAATAAAAATTGTAATAAAAGACAAAGCCAGATTAAAATTGTAAATAATTTTGCCAGCAAAAGAAGGATAAATGAAATAGAAGAGAAGTACAAATTCAGTCATGACTAACTTAATATTTATTATTTTAATGTTATTAACACAATTCAATATCAAAACTGTTAGTGTCATACTCTGAGCATTAAAGATGTTAATTATAAATTTAGAACTACAATGCCTAGTCTATTTTGCACGTTACATTTCCAAGCATTTGAAATACATTATCAAGTAAACTCAACATGACATTAAAAACCTGGGAAAACTTTATATAATTCGCTCTCCACGGACTCTAACGCATGTTTATATGGCAGATTGCAGTTACTCCTAATTACTTGGCTGGAAACATTGATACTATAATTCTCAGTTTTCGCTTAGACAACTTTCTTACAAGGGAGTGGAGTAATATCCTTTTCATAAATTAGTATAGATATGTTTTCTAACCTGGAACTTAGTAGTATTTCAGCCTCATCTGGCGTCATACTGTCGGGCTGTTTGTCGTCAGTGTCGTGAGCTTGCGCCGCATCGCTGGAGGGCGCCTCCGCCTCCGACACGCTCCATTGACTGGTGGTCGACTTGTCGAGCACCTCGATGGAGCCCTGGCTCGCCTCGCTTACCACCACACCAGAATCCTTAACATGAATGAAAGTACCATTCGTTTTTTAGTATTACAGATGACAAACAAGGAAGATCACTGGCTGTTATTTAATTACCCTGACCTATCAGAAGATTTGAAGAAATATAAAGATTTTAAGAAATTGTGTTACAATTAAGTTAGGGTCTTCGACATTTTAATTACCAGCTGGTAACGTCAAGATATAAAACTTTATGGCAAAATTTTGTGCGAAAAGATACTTTAGTACTTCCCCAGTCAATCGACTGAGAATCATTCGAACATTGCAATAGCTTGTCGAAAGTGGTACCTGCTGCAGTACGGAGAGCGTGTCGGGGTCAGAGCGGGCGCGCTCCGCGGGCCGCAGCGCCGCGACGTCGGGCGAGGGCTCGTTGAACCCGCCCTCGTCGGACACGCTCGAAGCACGCCGCACACCATCCTCCGACGACTTGCGACCTCCGCCCGCTGGAACATGCACGTACACATTGTAACTGCTACTCTCAGTGTAGATTACACTAAATCTATACTTAGCTATCCTACTTAACCCTTAAATGGACGATTTTTTTTTACGTTTTAAAAAAATATATTTGTGTAATCATTTATTTTTAATGCATAAAAATATTGGATAGTGCCAACATTAAAAAAAGTACAAAATTCGTTCAGAAATAAGAACTAGTTGTCAAAATTAACAAAAAAATAAAATAAAGATAATTTTATCTGTGATGTTTAGTATGTTGTTTAAAAACAACATTGTCCATTTAAGGGTTAATGCTGTAGTAGGCTGTTAACAAAAAAAATGTTTTCAACTGAATCGTAACAAAACCGAAAGAGAATATTTTTATCGATACCTCTACCTCTGAGAGTAGGTGAATGGAGGCAATTTGAAATTGGGTTGGTACTATTTTAGCCGAGGCTGGCGACCGCAGGTGTTTGCCGAGTTCTCACGTGGCCCCGTGTATAAACAAAACGCATTTAGAATAAAAATAACGAACGAGACTTCACTGTATTCAAATTATTTTATACGTTTTACTATAACAACAAATTGCATTAGAAAAGTTATTTTTAAATATTTCAATATAATAACAATTGATAATCATTAGAAAATCCTATTTGGTTTATTAGCAATATAAATATGTTTAACGCCTGAAATTTATTTCAAATTTATAGTTACAATATCGTCTTGTTTAAGATGGAGACAATGGCTCCCAATTTGTTACGTCGCGTGGCGGGACAGAAGACGCCTGTTCCAATTTACTAATTAACACTCATCCACATTCATTCCACTTTAGTTTGCCTCTCGCTGTCACAAGATGCTATTAAACATTATATTTGTATAACTATAAAAAGTTCAACACTTCTTAGCTAGGGACAGTTTCGGTTCCTATAGTTAAATTAAGCATTCATGTTGTATGGACACAATTAAGTAAGGTTATTTCTTTTATTTGTTAAACTGTTGCAATTGGTACTTGAATATTGAGCAACAATTTGACATTGAAAAATACTATCACGATTAGTTTGCTTTTAATAAAAAGTCAGTCAAAATGTAAATGAATTGAAAATGAGAACAAAATATGTGTAACCATGAGTCCACTATAATGATTGCTTTAAAGAATATCATAGATTGAATTATAATTAAGGCAATTAACTAAGTTATATTAAATAACAGATGTTACAAAACTTCTTAATTACAGTAATTTCAGTTAACACTATATTTACAAAGGAGTATACAACTACTGCATAATAATACAGATTTTGTATATTTAGGTTGTAAACAATCGACATGGCAGTAAAATTGCCAGAACAACCCTAATTGATCAACTTTCCATATACGGTTGTTTGTCAAAAACATTGAAACAACCTTGGAGAGTGGATCTCCCCACGCACTAAATTTTATGACCCAGAACGAACAGATAACTTCAATAAAATGGTTACGAGTTATTGAAATTAATTTATACATAACTTTATTTACAACTTTAAAATATAACTTGCCAACTTTCAATGGTAAAGTGACAACTTTATCAGCTTTATCGACGTTTTTTGTAGAAATAAAAAAAAAATGGCAAATACCGGTTTAAACGATAACGATATATACTATAGTACATTATATCCTATGTCTATTTGTCTCCAAAGAACTGATTACTTTTAAATGCACCTAGAATTTGACCTAACATAAAAGCTATTCATACGTAACCAAACATGCAGTCACTACAATGGGCGTCTGTTTTACTTTCACGTACTTTCTAATACAAGTAAGCTTACTTCTCAAGCTGTTAACAATATTAACAAGTACGTATATTACTTGCCAACTTGATTTAAGTTAAATTATTGTCGCGAAACGTTTGTACAAATTACGTCTTTACATGTACAGTAAATAAAAAAAATAAAGGTAACCATCAACCTATTAATCAATCTTAAGAACTTAAGAATTATCTTTTTTTTAAATTTGTTAAGCTCTCCGTCCAAACATGTTGATTTAATTTTTTCTATGGACCTGACAGGCTACTAAACACTTTTATAATCGTAGAGAAAATCTAACACATGCTTTAATTTGACTGAAATGCTCTCGTAGTTTGGATTAGTGTTATAAATTTTGTACCGTCTTTAAAATGTATTTATTGTGTTTACTTGGAAGCAAAAATTATAGAAACATGTTAATACATATCTTTTATATTAAATATAACGTACATACTTCGTGCACATCGCAGCAAGAGTTGGTACAATTCTAGAAATGGAATAACGACTGAACGAGTCATCCAGCTGCATGTCTGCCACCACATTTTCTTATTTTATACTAAGCCACATCCAATTTCACTTGTTAAACAACATTTTTTTCTTAATTGTCAATGTTTTGACCTAATACACTTCACAGCGTAATCGCCAAATTGTATAGGTACACAATACTTATTAAAAAAATGAAGACGGGTGCGTTCACCCTTTAATCATATAACACGCAAACGATTGGGTCACTATCGCAACACGAGACAATGGATGTATTAGTTTAGAAGTGGGGGATATATTGAATGAATGATGAGGACATCGCGGTGTGCATAAACAATGCATGTGCATAACTAACCGATGCAACAGCCGCAGAGGCGCATTGTGTGCGGCGGGCGAGCGCGCGCATCACAGCCGCATCTCGCCGCGCCCTCGTTCGCAACCGCTGCCCGCACGCTCACGCGCAACTTCAGCTCCACGCGACCTGTCTCCTTCCTCTTATCGCAATGCCAATGAAACGACTCACACATACGCTCCTATTTGCACCGACACCGGAAATCGCCTTCTAACACTCGGCTCACTGTCTTCGGTCACTTCTTTACCGCAGCAATGTTCCAAAAACACACTTAAGCTTCTAACGATAAAATTATGTTTGGCCTGTGTTGTAACCGCTTTCTACGTATGAAGGGATAATCGTTTCTCGCAGAAATAATGTCCGGTGGCGATTTATAATCTGTTGCTGCGCAGCGCTTTGTAAGTAAACACTAGCAGATTAGCCGCTTGCCAATATTTGGTTGACATAAAATTTGTTTTCGAATAATTTATAACAAATTGTAGACCTTTAACTACGGAGTACCTATTTAATATTGTCGGCTATTCACTTCAAAGTTACGCACGACGAGATAACAGTTAATTAATAGATCTCTTTAAACAGTTCGATGAACGACTTGCGAACTCGACCAGCTGTCAATTAAGACTAAATTCTATGAACGATCAAAACGTAACCGATAACAATCTTGCAAGTTAGTTTCTCGCACCCAACATGCCGCGCTATAATCAAAACACGTACTGAGAAGTCCGAAACAAAAACAGCACATTCACGCGTCACATTTATGAAGCTCAGTCTAAATTCACTATATCTCGCAGATGGATAAACACCGAGACCGTGAATATAATAAAAGCTAACGTATCATAAACACTTCTAGAGTTTTAGCAAATCGTACGTACTAATGCACAATTTGGTGAAGTAAGACGCGAGTTAAATAGTCATTTACAATGGTAGAGACGCTGTGCCAGTAATTGTATGGTGCGGGGCTACGGGGCGCGCGCGGCGACGGCGGCCGGGGCACTGCGTCGCGGCGAAGTCGCGGCGGCGGCGGCGCCCGACCATCTAAATCGGGATCGAGTCGCAACTCTCGCGCCGACTCAAATACCTTGACTTCCTCAATATTACATTGAACCCGTGGACCACGAGACCGCCAAAAGTACGTCAATCGCCGCCCACCGATACACTGCTTAGGGTAATTTACTGCCCACTGTGCCAGTACCAAAAAACTTTTGCTTACAGTCATTTAATGTTTTTACTTCCTCTTATCTTTCTAAAGCGGACGATAACAATAAGAATATTCGTATTTTAAAACATTTTTTGCAAAATTTTTATATTATTCTGGTTCGCAATTGTAACTAAGATAAACTAAAAACACAGATACGACTTCTCATTTACAATAAAGAAAAAATGTTTACGTTTAACTGTTTGCACTTGTGGTTTATCTCGTTTATTAAAAGGTTAATGCGAACACTTAATCGTTGAATTTGTATTTGACCTGAATTGAAGCTTTTATAAGACAAGTTCTCGCACCTAATAACAATTAAGTTTTCACGACCGACACACGTCTGCAAACGAACGCGTTTTTACAAAACGTTAACAATATAGCACTATGTCTAATGTAAATATTTTTATACGATAAATGTTATCATATCGTCTAGTAAAAAAGATAAGCGTTTTTGTATAATAAACTTGTATATGAAAAAACTAAAAAAAACTTACAATGTGTTGGGGACGCTAGTAGCGGCGTGACAGGGACGCCATGCACCGGGGATGCTGCGGGCGACGTCAGCGGCGACCGGGACGCATCGTCTTCCGGTAGGGCGCTTGCCGGCGACTCGGGTGTTGATGACCGTCGTTTACTCTTCCCCTTCTCATTAGAATCGTATCCGTATTGTAAACCAATGTAATTTTCATCTTCCGAATCTCCGCTCTTGGAGGGTGATCTTCGGGCGTTATCGCATATATCTGCGCTTCGTCTTAGAGGAGAGGTGGGGGCGGAGCTATCGTTGTATGCGGGACGGGGTACGGGAGATTTAGAAGGAGATCTTCGGTTTCTCGGAGGTACGGGTTGTACTCGCAAATCGTCGATAATATCGGGAAAAGCAATACCTCTGTCTTCAATGAAAGCTTCAGAAGGAATGGTGTCACGAGGAGGTGTGATTTTCTCTTGAGGTATGGGAGGTGGAGGAGATCTTGGCATTCGCATAGGAGGTGAAGGAGGTGGCCTTTTGGCTAACGGATCTGATATGGAATGTGAAACGGGAGAAGTCTGGGCGGATAATATTCTTTCGACGGGCTTCGGTGCCACATTTGGATATTGCACGCAGTTGTTATTAGCCGCTTCCGATTCAGCCGTATCACTGTCTATGTCACTAACTACGGGCGATCGATTACCGGCACATAATCTTTCGTTGATTCCAATATTTTGTGCACCATCTTTGCTTGGAGAAACTCGTTCTACCTTGAACGTTGGTGAAGTTCTTGCGGTGGGAGATAGTGTATTACTCGATCTTGGCAATGGTGACACGGAACCAATCGTTTTTACAGGACTAGGAGATTTCGCAACGTGTGCACCACGAGTAACTAAGGATGAAGGAAGAGTCGTAGGACGCTCTGCTTGCGAGTCGGTGGCGCCGGGCGACAACGGAGGTGAATACACTCGGGATGGGACCACATACCTCTCGGCGATTTCTGGCGATTTTCTGTCAACTTGTCCGGGACCGAATTTTTGGTCAGGCCTTTGCTCATGTTCGTACCTCGCCGGCCGCTGCTTATTGAAATGTGCCGTCCAATTCCTCTGTTTTTCGATGAGCTCCTTGTTAAATCGTCTATCGGGTTTCTCAGGTTTAGGCAAAACGCTTGGTTTGACGGGCTTTGGCGGCGGTTGCCCGGCACCATTGGCGAGTCTGTCTCCGTTTAGCGCGGGCGCAAGAACGTTAGTTGGGGTGACGCTGGCCCTCTGCGGACTAACGGATCCTGCGGAGCTGGAGCGCGATCGCGTGGGCACCGGCGGATGTCCGCCGCGCGTGCCCGCGAAGCTTGCTGCCGCGGAAGGTGATTTCTCGATTCGGAAGCCGCGATTCTCTTCACCCAACTTCTCGAATAACGCTCGCGCGTTATTGAATCTGGCCAAGTGACTCTCGGTGCGCACGACCGTCACATCGGCGCCACGCAAGTCTTCGTCATCCCTCGACGGCATTCCTTGAAATATATTTGCAATTTTCGAAACTTTAGTACCATGCACTCTCTTCTTACACTCCTCCATACTGGCCGGTTACGGCCGCTTCAATCCAACCTGGAAAACGAATTGTTCAAAGTACATAAAGATATCCAGGATACACATGACACTCGGCGATACATGAGAAAGTAGACCGCGGTTTCGGTGTGAAAAAATGATATAATTAGATAAGCGCTAGGAAAGCAAGCGGCGCGGCGCGCGCTCGCAGCAAACACTAGCGCGCGGCCGGTGCGGCGGTGGCGGCGCCGCGGCAGCGGGATAGCTCGCCGTGTAATTTAACTTGAGATAGCGATAGCGCTGATAACGACTTACTCATACACGACGCACGAACTATGGCTACATAAGTTTTCTTGGAAAACTATATGAACTCAATTAATTATATCGTTATAATTAGCAAATCCATGGATAGATCAAATGCTGTCACAAAAAAAAAAAATTAATTTATTTTCAACACACGATATTCATTACCGTATAAAAGATACTACACAAAAACGAACCTCGTATCAAAACAATCTACCGAATTTAAACAAACGCAAACACATAAAGCGAAATACGATAAGATTATAAATGGAGTGAATGATAAAAATTTCAATAATAAGTAATAATTGTTACATTTATAACAGTTTTATTGTTGGCAATTTGAGTGTGATGCGCAGAATGGGGCGGTTTGTGTGTTTGTTCGTGTCAGTTTTATGTGTGTCCGTGCTCTGTGTGGAAGGTCAGCGTTGTGAGGTGGCGCAGGTGTGCGTGACCGACTTGAGCGCAGACGCATGCTTCGGCAACCAGGTACTGCAGCCCAACAGCAGTATATTCGGCTGCTGCCCCAGTTGCCAGCCGCCCTCGCCAGGCCAGCCCGGTACGAACTAATTTGGGACACACCATAATACATCTACACTCTATGCGGGGTCGACACTTCTACACAAGTCTAAAAATAAACAAGACTCATTTAGATTTTTACGCTTTAGTGGTAACAAAGGCCGTAGAACTGACGGTGTGGAGACTTTAGTAACAGCGGATTGTAATAAATACAATTTTGTTTCGCTGATTTCGATATTGAATATAAGTTTTATTGTGTCAGCATTTAATAGAGACGTAACGTCACCTCCATATAAGGATTCTTTGCTATAAAGTGTAGCACCTCAAGTGGTAAACTGTTTCTTAAAAAAATACTAACATTTTTCGTTCAGCCAAATTATTTGAAGATTAACAATTTACATACATCTAATGCAAATAATTGATCGCATAAGAGGGTTTATTTTATTTGTTTTATTCAAGTATTTTAAAATTATCTTCGAGTTTCGAATGTTTAAACAGTTATTTATGAACTTCTACACAAAGAAACCAAATTTCCAAAGATTTCGGTTGACGTATTAACATGTTTTGCAACAGGGCCCGAGGCGGATACGTTGTGCAAGCCGCCAGCAGCCTGTCTGCCGGACGGACGCTATGCACCGGTACAGTGCAAGGGCGATTTATTCAACGGAAGGTGGGTTACCAATACGAATCCGTTAACCACCTCTAAGCAAAACATTTTTATAACGAGTTAATAATTTATCTATTGCAAATATATGCATTAGAAAACATGGGTTAAATCGTGAACACTAAGTTATATAAAAGTATTATTTTACATTTGTCCTTTAGTGTCTGTTGAATTTAGAGACAATAGACTCATATGATTCGTATGCATACGTACAACAAAGGTTTACGTCTCTCTAAATCAGTATTCACAAACAATAAGATGATTTCCTAAGAATGGAATTTAAATTGTTCAAGTTTACAACAAAAGTATGACCAAAAGAATATTCTAAAGATGCGTTATATGTACAATATATTAAAGGGGACACTGACTAACTGATGTATGATCAACGCTCAACCTAAACTGGGTCCAAAGATTTGAAATTTTAGTCAGAGACAATCAGTTACTACGTAGGAGAGTACTTTTGAAATTCTCTATGGTCACAAAGTCTCGAGCACCAGGTAATAGAGACTAAATGCATAGTTAACCGTCTCAGTGTTACACCGCAGTGCACCAGTCGGTATCTTGTTTACATTACACATTTACTTTATACACAGATGTTTCTGCTCGGACCAAAACGGGACCAGAATATTTGGACAAATGTGGAGGATCGATGCGAGTGAAATGACTTGCGGTACGTTACTAATACTCTTTATACAAACAATATAATTTGTTTCATTGCATGTTTCATAGGAATAAGTGTCGGTAAAATATTAATTTGTGATATTTAAGATAAGTTTAATTCTTTTTATCTTTCTGATTTTACCCTTAAAGCTTCTGCAACGGATGTTCATATAATTCTAATATTTTATAAGGCTAATAAGCTCGAATTGACATATGATAATTATTACATGTTATTTATACCATCTTCATAAAAATTTGAGTCTGTCTATACTCACACTCATATGTTGCTTTATCTTATTAGTTAAAGCAAATTATATTCAAATAAGTTAATATAAACAATGTTCATATTATAATTACGTAATTTTAAAATTTTTACCTTCCCAACTTCCTCCTACTAACCACGTAAGCGCAATACAAAATGGTTTTGTATTACATTACCTGCTAACGTGACACGAGTTCGCGACCAAACATTATGCTTCATTTTACTAACATAAGGTAATATTAAACTAGGGTGAATTCGAGTACAACGATAATTAGAACAAGGCAAATTTAATATGATGGTGAAATCGCATCGGAATTACCAATACATGTAATTCCGTTTATGAGGTTAAAGGTAAAGGAAGTGTAGAAATCAAACAGGATAGTATAATTACAGCTTGCAGCCGTCGTAGGAAGGAACTGGAGGATTCGGGTAGGAGTGTGGTCAGCTTGCACTGTACACCAACCGGCGATTACGAGCGGCTGCAATGCGACGACGGCATGTGCTGGTGCGCTGAACCAAAGACCGGCCAGCCAATTGTACAACCCGTACCTGAAGAGGATATGAAACATCTGCCTTGCTGTGTGTAAACGTAAAGTTTTACTAGTATAGTTTTAATGGATAAGAATAATAACATCCTTAGAGATAGTTTAGGCTAATTTTATGTCAGATTTGAAACCGTGAATAAACACGGTCGCACCCTAAATATTATCCTTATTGTTAAGGAGACCGTGATATATAGTGTAAAAAGTTTTCACATTAAATCAAAATACATTCCACTACCATAATCTTGTTGTAAATAATTAAGGCAAGAGTTATTAAGGCTATAGCTTAATAAATTGCACAAAAGGAAGTGAATCAGACTTATAATGAACAACGAACAAAGACCTCCAACTGCATTGCACTTGTTCAAATACAAAACTTCAGTGTAATCGCATGACATCGCACAACTAAAGTCATCGTAATATTATCTCTTAAATCTAAATTAACTCTATAAAAGCTACATTTATAATTTATTTGCTGCATAACCTTTTTCACTTTCTGAAATCAAAATCTCCGATAATACATAATGTTGTCTCTATTTTGTCAAAAACAATGACAGCGATGACGATATGTTTTATACAGAGATTTTGGTCGTAGAAACCCACGGTCAATTACCATTACAGATAGTACTGGTGTGATCGGCGAACAGTATCTTCGGAAGTGTGAAAGTATTGTTCAAGCATTAAATATGATATACAAAGAGCAATCTGAGCATGGTACAAATTTCTTAGGAAATCCTATCACGTTCTGCGACTACGACGGTAGCTATGGAGCTTATCAGATCAGAAATGGCATGTAAGTAAATACTATAATAAAAAAAATAGATTTTAGACTGGCTTTTTAAAGAGAAAAGCGAACAGAGAATTTCTATTCACTAATCACCACATATGAGTAGGATGAACTATTATATTTAATAATGTCATTTTGCTCATTCTCTTTGAAATTGTAATAATTGAAAACCAAATAATGTGTCTTAGTATAGGTCTTGTACCGTATGTAAAAAAATCTTGGATAAAATCTCAACGTCAACAACCACAACTTCCGAGTAGAACAATCGTGAGAAAATTTTGTCTTATTTCAATCCAACAAAAAACAAATACCTAATGATGGGAATTTACATAATAATACTTAAATAGGTAAACCTTTCATGGCCGTCAAAAGTAAAAGAAGTATAAAATGATAATTTGCTTGAGTAAAATGGATGTGAAAGTGTACCAAAAACACTTCGATCTAACAATGTGTAGGTAAAATCGATGGACAAGCAAGATGAAGATACAGAAAAGTGGGAGGGGTTTATCATTTGATTTTATTCGGGAAGTCTTTTCTTTCAATTTTTTTTAGGGACTTTTTTTTGAATTCGGGAAGTCTTCTTTTGATTTACATCCAATATGTAATCTATATTCATATTTGTATTTTTCAGTGCATATTGTACTGACCGCCAAGGTGAGATTCTTGGATCATGGCAGACGGTATCAAGCGAAATGACCGGAATGAATTGCAGTAAGTGTAAAATTATACTTTATCTATGAAGTTACAAGCAGAAAAAGACAAAATACTTCAGAGATGTTTATTGAAACAGTTTGTATAAGAAAATCTGTTAACGAACTACTTTACGTACTGAACAATAAGAAGACTGAGACATAAAATAAGCATAAAATAGACAAAACTAAATGTGGACAAAATACGTTTGATTCAGTACTTTTTACCTGATTAATCTGTACCATTAATTTATAAACAACTACGTGATTTAACCCAATTAAGGTAAGCCAGTATAAACCAATAACCTTTTGAATCACGGCAACAATTGATAGCAGTACTTCGTTTACAATAATATACAGGCAAGGCCACAATAATTCAATGAAACAGTGACAATTTAAGTAGATACTATTCTTATTATCTCATTAATATTATAAATACGAATGTTTGGATGGACGGATGTTTAGGAAGGTATCTCCAGAACGGCTGCATGAATCTCGCTAAAATTCGGTTTAGATGTAGAACATAACCTGAAAGAACACGTACTTAAGTTGTTTTTTAATTCTACGCGAACGGAGTCTCGGGCGAAAGCTTATTAGAAAATAAAAAAAACATTTTAAAACTACTCGTCATGCAATGATAAGTTATAATTATTGCTCCGAATAAATTTTTCATTTAATCCAAAAAGTTAATTGGCCATTTATAATGTCATTAATCACGACATCAAAAAGTCGATCAGGCATTTCGCGTCAAGTATGCAGACTATTGTACCGTTCCCGCCTCGAGAATTGCATCTCGAGAATTAAAAAAGTAGAACGAATTCCTGTTAAAATCATTTTCGAAAAAAAAAATTAAAAGTTAATTAATTTTATAGCCATATAAGAGCTAAAGTAATGCAGTTTTGGAATTTCCAAAATTTTTACACCTAATTAAGTTAACCCGAATTGCAAAAAAAGACTTTTATATTGCTTCTCCACGATGCAACAACAATACCGCCACTAATCATAAATCATAAATTAAAGAAAAATTCAGGCAAATTACTTTTTAATTACTTGGGCAAATTTAAGATACTTTGCCCAAAGAAACCATCCATCCATACAATGTTTCGATATTCACATTCAGGAATCTACTGAAAATCACTTTTAGTACTTTTTGCTACCAAGTTGGTAATAATGAGTATCTAAGCCAAAGCTACAAAGCACCGTAGTAATTGGAATTACTTGAACCAAGAATTGGATTACCCTACGTAATCTGGATTGCGTTACTGACGCGTTAAAATACCTACCAGCTATATTAATCCATCACCGAGGATTTAAGACAGTTAGCATTATGTATTTCAATACAAAGTAAAATATCCAACTCGTTTAATAATATTATCCCTTGATAATATACCTGCAATAACATCAAAAAACTTTGCGAGCACAAAAAACACCCCACAGATCCGTAAACAAACATTTGCATCTGTTGAAATTCTAATCTAGAGCTTGAAAAACATCCACAACGCGTAAGCCTTGACTGTGGATGTTTCTTACTTAATAAGAATGGTAAAACTGCGAGTTTACACGCGACTGTGTCGGAAACTCCAATTGCCATATCGCCAACCTTCGTTAGGGGATTGCACCAAAAGAAGGAAAATACCATAATCTTGTAAATTAAAATAATGAGTACAATGCACTAAGTCGTCTTAAAGTAGTACTTTTTAAGGATAAACTTGTTTCTTTGGGAATAATTTGCAATTCTGGTGAGATAAACAGAAGAACACGAATACCGTTAGCGCGCATACGCAGCGCGACCGGTCGCCGACCGTGACCCCATTACCGACATACACAGTACCTGATTCCATTCATTCCAAACCGCACCACTAATGGAATGTCAAGAGAATGTCGCCAATCGAAACTCTTACCGAATTCAAGAGCGATCGCGATTCACGTACATAGTCAATATCGACAGCACAATACTGACTTTGCATAGAACGCAAGAAAAAGTCATGTTTTTTGCTTCGAAAACAATGGGTATTGGACGTCGACGATTATGAAAAACTTAATTTAATTCCCGACATAGATTCCATACCGAACATCAAAAATGTATAGAACTGACATCAACTGAAGTCACATGATTGCCGCACGATAGTTCTATACATTTTTGAACTTCGTTATGGAATCTCTTCGAAGCTAATGCATTTTGTCTAACCAATCAGAACGGATATTGATTCGTATATTAACAAGTTGCAACTTTTATTACCATAATTATTTCAATCAATAAGTACATATGTTCATTTGAAAGACATCAGCAAACGAACACAAATGTAAAATGAACCTAAAGTTAACCTTAATGCTTAAAACCATTAATATACAGCTTCTTAATTACACATATTAAGGTTATGTTTTACTCGGGAAAAGTACTACAAAAAAATTAATACATTATCATGGCCTGTTTGCTAATGGTTTGAGAATAAAAAAATGTGTTGTGATTAACTAAATATTTATCCATTTTATAATTATCATAGAATACTAGCAGCGAAATTCTGTGACGCACGCTATTTGTCGTCAATAATAAAAAAAAATAGTTAATCTTTAATTAATTATTGTAAAAAGCAAAAGGGATTAATTAAATCTAATAACTACTTCCAGAGTATCTCGCGCCATTTAAGTCTTTAGCTCTATTAAAACAATACAGATTTTAATTCGATACTTCCATTATGATATAACCGGGTTAATTGGTCGTAAGGCTAAGATCTCCCAGTTTCAAACACTATTTTGCCACTGCTGCCTCGTCGATAATATATCGGTACCACATGCTGAGTCGAACTCCAAAATTGGCAATACCTCACTTGGTCTATATTAATAAATCGTGTTATATTATGAAGCATTAATCGTAGGTTTCTAAGACTAAAATCCCTGATTGACAGTGATGACGATATGTTTTTACGGATATTTTAGTCTCGGTAACCCACGGTAAATATTATATGTTTTTGTTACGTTGTTTCCTATGAAAATTGATATCAATATCCTTGTTTCATTTTTCATTTGTAACGAAACGAATGTATTTTCCTATCTTTAACGTTGATAGCTTAATGTATAAACGATTGATTTATGATCAATCGTAGATTGCGCTTCCGCTTTGGTTTTCTAATGAGTTTTAGGGGTATTTCTTGTTTGTAATATTAAAAGTATACTGATTAGAAATAAAGTCTGCGGAAGAAAGCACCTAATCAAGCCATACTTTTTACTTTTAATTATTGTCTTCACTTATTTATTACATAATAATTTTACCAATTGTACCGTTGTATTCCACACCAGTATGCGAAGGCTTTCACAGTTCGAAATCGCCGGACTAGCATATCGAAGATAAAGCAACTCGCATGAAAGTGGCGATACAATCACCAACACGTGAAAATCAATGACTATTTGACGTGTTTTTACACCTTTAGTCTACGCTTTCTTAACTTTTACTAGATGTCTGTTACACTAACATTACTCCGAGAAAAAATTAAACTTCTGTTCTTCAAAGTTTTCATATTCAAAATAAGTTTAACACCTGTCATCTAGTGGTTTTTATAATCTTAGTAAAGAGGGTTATTAGACTATTAAATTTTGTTACCTACTCTAAGATCCCACATATAACTGCTGTAGAAATCTTATAAGTATTTACGGTGAACGCTTAAGCACGGAAGAACTATCGATCGGATTAGTGACGTATTTGAGTGTCTATTGGTAAGTTTCCACTACCTAAATACCTGTACAAAACGTATCCAACATTCATAACATATAGTTGTCGCTATAAATAGAATGCGTGCAATGACAATTTATTTCTAAATAGATCGTACGACAGTGAAAACTTACGGTTTGAATGTGTCACGCGTGTGTACCTCTTGTATAACATTTTATGCTTAATTAATTTTGAAGGCTTTGTTTTGCGTACACAGCGTCGTTAGGTAACAGCCAAATGGAGTCTGTAATGTATTTTGTTATCTTTCTTGGAATCTTTAATTCGTTAGGAGGGATATAAATAATGTAAGTTGATGGAAAAATACGAGTATGTATTAATGTTTTGCTATCTACAGATTGTGCCAGAGACACCATTATGTACTTCCCGGAGCGTGGCATGACCGTGACAGAAGTGTGCCTGGCTAACGGCAACTATCGAAGGAACCAGAACGTCGGAGATGTGCACTACTGTGTCGATAACGATGGCTACCCCGAAGAGTGCTAACCGAATGGCCCATGGACTTAGATTAGATTACATTATTTATCCTACCTAAATTAATACTATACAATAATAAATTTATAATTTCGTAGTATTATTGTTTATTTTGTTCCGAATACCATATTTTTTTTCAATGACTTACTTTGTATTTGAAGATAATATGATGACTTTTGGTCGTAAGTTTATCTTCACGCAGGAAGACGTACATCAGGATGTGGTTATAAAGGTGTGTAAATACAGGTAGTCGGGGTAAATGAGTATTTATAGGTTAAGAGTGTGTGGGTAGAGTAGAGCAACACAAGTTAATACGTACTGAACAAGTGGCAGGCCGCAGTTCGCGGCGCAACGCGTGTCACCCGACGCCGCGCGCCCGCCCGCTCGCCGCGCGCCTTCTCCCATCTGTAAAAAGCGTCGGATTACAACAACGCCAACCATCACTCGACCTCATAAAAAAAGAAAAATTTTGACTCTACCAACTATTAAAAAATTAAACTAATGTGTGACAAAATAAATTTGAATGTAAATTATTACACATAGTCAACACACAAACGATGTTATTGACGTGTCTCCATATAATACATACCACTGTTAAAAAAACTATCATATGCGTTCCTTCAGGATATTCAGGGGGGATTCACAAACGTTTGTTTTTGTAATGCACGAGATGAGCTTATATCGCTTCGGGTGTAGTTCCTTTCACGGTACGGGTGCTTTCGTCTAGTAAGCCCCGAAGTCATTGCCTTTAGTTTCCAAAGCTTAAAGACTTCTTAAATATTTTCTTTTTAAATATCATCACTTTGTCAAACTAAACACGATACCAAAGAACTTGTTACATCTTAAGTACGAGTTAGTGGTTAATTTATTTACGGAAATGCCTGTGGCATAGGCCGACACTGAATAGCTTGAAAAGCCATTCGACTTTATCTGATACTATTAGTAAAGTGTTTTTAGCTAAACAAAGAACAGAAGACAGCTGTAATTACGAATCCAGTGTTTTTTTATAAATCAAAAAATACAAACAAGGTCAGAGTAAAATCTTGGAGAAATCGACAAAGTTGACGATAGATTTTTTTCATGTTTTTGTGTCCTTGTTGTTGACGCATTTAAATGATCGAATGTTTACCGAGAACCTCATAAATATCACCCGTTTGTGAACAATTTTTATTAACGTTGTTGTTGTTTTTCACAATTTTTTGCACACAAACAGTATTATGGTAATAATGCATGTACGGATGACGAGGTAATTTTCCCCGACCTGACCTACAATCGATATTTCTATCAGTAAGTCATGCATGAAGTTGCCAGCTATTTTCGCAAACTTGCACAAGCAACTTTCACAATCCCAGTGCGAGCTATTTTGCTATCGGAAGCCAATTATCTCCACTGCAAAATATATTTCTATGCATATTTACTGAATTCATCTCGTCTTTTGTCATCTATTTTCCATGTAGAATAAAGAACAAACGGTCAACAGATAATTGCTCATTATATTAGACATACAATGGCTTAACTCTTCTGAATCGAAATCTATAATATATTAATTTCAAACTATATCTTTTCTGACGCAAAGAAACGACCTTCCCCTATTTTTCGACGATACAATTAAAACAAGTGTATCTTTGTTCGCTGTTGAGGCGGTTTTTAAAGAGATGCAAACACTTTATGTGAAGCTAATGAATAATGAGGGAAGATTTTTGTCTCTATCGCCGTACATCTAACAAGAATTAAAGTCCCATAATATTGTACCATCTTAATATACGTATTAACACTGAACAAGTAACCTTGACTCTAGTCTAAATTTAAAAAAAAACTTCTGATAACACAATCGATGTTAGTAGTTTTAGTACAAAAAAATTAAAAAAAAATATTTTGTGATCAACATATCATGCCTTAAAAATCGCTTTCCTTAAAGGTCAATGTTTTGTGACCCCATGTCATCTATATGTCAAGTATTGTACCTTAACTTATAGCCAAAAGGTGACCGAGTGATATCTATATTTCAACTTTTACCTTTAAACCAATACCAATTAACACAAAACGAGAATAACCAAGAAAAATAAACTACGTTACAGAGAAAACATTTTTTTCTCATTCTTGTTACCTAACATTATTTTTTTACGCCGCCTACTGCGAGGCAAGTAAGAACTATAAGTCGTAAATTTGTAATTACTTGAAACCGTGACTCTCACAACAATATAGTATACCAAACAAAGTTGCCGTATTAGAATTAAAAAAAGAAATGAATAACGTAATATTTTTTAACCTTCTTTTTCACAAATAATCTCTTCCCATAACATAGGCAACATAAAAGCAACATCTCACAGTCTAATTTGTGTGTTCATCATGAACCACGTCGTTCATTCAAAGAATTCACGTAAGTACAACGCCCCGCTTTTATTTCGGTAGGCACGGAATGTGTTCATTTTCACTTTACGTACAAACTTAGATTTAAAATGTGTGAAGTTTAACTACAAATCGCATGACATCTTATTAACATCTTGAATATTTTGGATTTAACTAGAATAATTAAAAAAGTACTAGTATAACTTATAACTGATACTAGGCATTTACAAAATACAGTAATATGGGCACCGACCTTCATTGTGTCACCTCACGATTAATCAAGCGTAATTTTTTTTTCTGCGATGTTGATTTGATTACGACACCAATGGCACCGTAGCTCCGTAATATTTCCACTTAGGAAAACAATTAGTAAGGGAAGCCATATAAATGATTTGGCATTCGTAAAGGGTGTGCAAAAGGACCCTTCAATAAAAAAGCACTAACCCTAGACCTATTATTATTATGAACAATATCATTAACCTCGTTATTTTGAAGTTTAATTGAATAGGACTTTTGCTAATGCACGATATCATTGACTTCATTTTGATGAACAAAAAAAACAAAATAAACTATTATAAATAAAGGTAAGAAACCATATTACGTTGTATAGTTAACATTGTTGTAACTATTTCTACTTAAATCGGTGTAAAATATGTGTCAGTTTTTTTTTATTGCAACTCGTGTTATACAAGAAATGAGGCAGCATCATTCCCGAGTTTTAGATATATTAATTGGAACATTTCCTGCATGTATGTGTATGCTGCAGGAACATTAGCTTGAGAGCTAGTTATGAGCGCGTCGCAGTTTGTACGGCAGTCATTGTAAACGGAGCGAAGGGTGCTCAATATAGGGTGGGCTAAGGGGCGACTCCTTTCCACTTGGACACGTCACAACCGCCCTCGACGGTGAGCGAAGGAACTACTGATGGTCCGACACGTAATCATCTATTTTAACAATGACGAAAAAAAAGTTTACATAAAATTACAGTGAGTTTCCGAGACCAAAATCTGCATTTAAAACATATTGTTATCTGTGTTTAGTCCAACATAATGACCAATCAGAAACCAATGGTAGTTAAATTTTTACTTGAATTTAAAGTAACGTAAAATGAATTATGATTGCAGTAACAAATATCTTGCAAACAGTTACAAGCTTATTATTGCTTTATCTGTACATGAATATGTATTTTAAATTTAAAAAAAACTATAAGTAATTTTTTTTATTATACAGTACTTCCTATTGGAGGTCTGAATTGAAAACCTATACATTATTAATCCTTCAATTTAAATACTCACCTTTTATAGTGATTCGTAAATACAAAAATATATTTAGAATATTTCACATATATAACCTTATCTTTAGCTATGTATATTAAATAATAATTTAAGTCACCTTTATCTCATAACTAGCAGTTACATGTGAATGCATCCATTTCCAAATTTCTTACTAATTTGATTGCCGTTCTGAGTAACATGGTTGTGTGCAACATCCATGAACCACTTATAAGTTAAAATTATTATGATTTTCCTAATTTTACACCATTTCCTATTAAAATCTAAAATAGTAAAATAGCTGTCTTCTATATGAAGAGATATTTGTTTATTTCAATATGTGATATAATATTTACTGAAAAACTGTTTAAAAACTGCAATTTTATTAATTGTAGAGATAATCAAACTAAACCTATGTGAATATTTTAGTTGATTCTTTTCCTTTTTTTTCACAAGAGGACCAAATAAAAATTTCACTGTATTATCACATTAAAAACATTATTAGATATTTTAATCTGCATTAAATGTTTCCAAAATACATTGCAAGTGTATTCAATTACATTATAATTATGAATTTATCTAATTAAAAGAGAAAAAAAATCATACAAGTAGAAGAGAGTAATCTTATTCGGGTTTATTAAAAATTCATCTAACATAAGCATGAAATTATAGGTAATAGCTAATTAGGCATAGAAATACCATGTGTACAGTATTGTGTCATAATCAATAAAAACAAATAATTTCAAAGATAAAATGATGACAGAACATTGAAATATAGAAAATTTATAGAAGATAAACAAACCACCATTCATTGACATTTTACAAACAACATGTGAAAGTTTGTGTGAACTGTAAACCCATTGTCATTTACTTGGAATTTTTTAATGTTTATTACCTCTGAATATTGTAATTATAAACTTTTAATTAGACAAAATATTTTAACCTTTAACTTAATAGTTAAAAAGGGAAATAATTATAACTCAAGTCCTGACTTATATCAGGCAAAAATAAAAATCTTTCCGTTTTATAATATTTGTACCGACAAATATAGGCATAAAATTAATAAATTTTTTCATCACTATTAATTTAAAAAAATTGTAACTTTTAAACATTACTATAATTACTTTTTTGAATATAATTATAAACAGATGCGACTGGTTATTCATAAAAATACCAGGTATATTATGTACTATATATGTAGGGACACTTTGATAATAATTTAAATATAGGTACTTAAGATTACTTAACGTAAAAGTTATCGATTCCTACACATAATGTAAGTCTAAATTCTAAATCTAAATAACTAGAAAAGAAAACAGATACTGACCTTATAAAAGCGTCACGTTTTCTCCACCTTGATGCGATCCGGTTTGCCACATCAGTGCCAATTCGTACCACATATTAACGAAATAAATGTATCACAATATTGCACTTTCCACAATATCCTATATTTCTCTGGTATACTTATAAAATCAAACCGCACGCCCACAACCTACAATCAGTGCGTACACCGAAACAAACAGCATTCGGAAGCTTATTTTATACAGGCACATGAAACGTCAATAATCCAGGCCAGCTCCGAAGAAAACCAAATTTTCAGCGAAAGTATGATGTATGGACATCAAATGAAGCAAATATATTTAATGACCCAAAAATGGGACCGCGTACATTAAACGAAAAAAATTTAATACAACAAAAACGTACGAATCCTAATTTATATGAAATCGGTAATTTCTAACCAACCACTCAGTACACTGCCATAATTTTATAATGCTACCTAGGGCTGGCCGTACTGGTGAACGTATGTTGATAATATCGATAATAGGAGGGTGGCAATGAATTAAATGCTGTTTCAAATAACATTTTTATATGTGTGTGATAAAATAAATCTGTATAGTCTAAAACTGATTTAAGAAATAAATTTAAAAATAACATTTTCATCGATATAGAAATAATATTACTTCATTTGAAAGAAAAATATGACTTTTCCTTGTTGGCGAATTAAATGCCGTAAAATAAAGACATAATCTTAAGATATAAAAACCCTTGAGTACCGACCCCACGTGAATGGGATTAAGCCAAAGAGATGATGAAATCGCGTAATAAAAATTTAGGGATGCCATGTAACAAAACAAATTTTTTCGAGCAAAAGTCATCGATATGTCGAAACACCAAATAGGTACGTCTCTATCCAACCGGCACTAGTACAGATACAAAAACTAAATGTCAAACAAATAAAATCGGATTTTTTAATATTATATGGAATAAAAGGTTTTATTACACAAATTATTTAAAGTTCTATACAATATCTCAATAATGTTCTCCTTGTAGAAAGTTTAATGAATTATCTATTTATTGATGATGATAAAATCGTTTTAAAACTCTCTCTAGGCTGTAATAAAACTCAACGAGGACACCTTCAGCATTCTAAAGTCATAAAAATAAGATTTTTACCTTTTCTGCAATGTAGGGTAGCCCAAACACCTCCAAAGCAGTAACCTGGTCCTGGTACCCTCATGATCTAGGCGACAAGGATGTTAGCGGTAACATGTTTTTTTTATCTAATGATTGAGATTTATATAAGTGGAATTTGCTTCTAATTTGATAAAATTATATCCGCGGAGAAACTTGGCATGATGCTAAGTGCTTATGTAGGAAGACAGATGACGTTTTTTAAATTTTAAATACATACACTGATTGGGGTCATCCGCTACTTAGCGAAGTTGAATCAATATTCAAGATCTCGACTGTTCTATTCTATAAAAATACTACTAGGATAGTGGAAAGAGGCCTTAGGACATTTTAATAAAAATTAGCCCTCAACAAAATAAAACCAGGAAGCCGTTGTCTAATATCGCAAGTCTATTGTTTCAGCATTACAAATAATATGTTCACAAACATGTTCATAAAAGACAGATGTTTTTTTTGTTTAAAAATTGTTCGTTATAAATTTGAATACAAATCATTTAATTTCATACAAAATTATCTTTAGAGTTATGGATCTAATTCGCTGTGTTTTTCAAGTAAGTACTACAAAATAACACAGCATTTTCTCTGTTTACGCCAACGCGATTCCATCGATCGTGTTCGCATAACTTTACGCAAACGTTTTTTGTGCGTTTTATGTGATTTTTTGTTACTAATTCTGGATTCTTTAGACTGCAACCTGGCGCAGTCGCAAGGCATGCCCCTCCTGCTGACGGTTTCGGATGCGCTGGGACATTTATACTTTCGTTTGATACATTTCTTGTAGCACTTGTCCGGTTCTGGGCACGGAGCTGGCCGGGGTCGGTGCCTGTGTACGCTACATGATGGTGCCGATACACAAGGTTTCAAACTCTTAAGCGAGTATGTAGCTGAAATTTAAAACATGATCTTTGTAAATTACGAAAATTAAAATTAAAAGAAAAATACTCACAAATTACTAGTTATTAATGTTAATTGAAAACAGAAAATGTATTAAGGTTAAAGACAAACGAATTTTGAGTTTTGCCATTTTTTTTATTTCAGTAATAGAATGTGTCTAACAAACTGGTTATTGCATTGAAGTTGAAAACGTCGGACAATATTTTTGTGTAAATTTATAACCAGAATATTCTTCATGCTATTAAACATATTATGAACAGAGTAAAATAAAATTCGTACAAGTTTAAATATATAAATACAAATAACCGAGTATGTTTTAAGTAACAACTACAGTGAAGAGAATTTACAAAATTTCACAGCACTTTTTCTTCTTAACTCGACCTCTATGTCCTTTGCCAGCGCAGCATTCGGTCTTAGACCGCGGTGTGCCTTGCTTCCTCAAATACGCAATGTAACTGTGACTTCCCGTTAATCTATCTTTCCTTCGCATCTTTGCTTCTTTAGATTTTCTTTTTAAAAATTTTTCAATTTGCTTAACATTTCTCGGATTATCAGCACCCTTAAACCTTCCGCAATTACTACATTTTGCTTTCGATCTCGTTGCCATTATAGAGAGTGCACTCTGACAATGCCTTATCCCCTTGGAAGTGGTTCTTTTCAAACATCTCTCGGGATTTTGGCATGGCGGCGGCGTGGGATGGCATCGCACTGGTGCGCAGGAAGCTGACGGAGTGCACGGCGGGTGGATTGCAGGAGCCATCGACAAGCTTTACTCTGCAATAAATAATCTGCATTAGTAAAAGAAGATATTTTAAAGAAGCCAATACTGCCACTCATGTAATTCAATATAACCTAGTGCATAAAATTGTTTAACTTACCTATAGTTTTAAAACACAAACATTTTTATTGTCCCGTATTTGGTGAAAGAATTCGTCAAAAAGTCAAACGTTTTTAATCGCGGTTAAAGGTAATATAGCATGAAGGAGTACTCACAGTATTTACTCATGTTATATTGCCACCTTTGAAAATTTACCCAGACCTTGCTCCAGCTTCAGTTTTTACACTAAAGTTAAAAGAAAAAATATTTTTTTAATAATTTTTGCTGTCGTGTGAAAACCAAATACATTGTAACGTTTAAACTATGCCAAAATATTACGGGAATTAAATATTTAATTTTATTTTTCTATTCCAAGATGTTTGCAAGAATGTTTGTAAGTCAAGAGAGGAAACCCAATAACTAAGGTAGTTAATCTTCTTTCTTTAAGATTTTATACAATAGATAAACATATGTTTTTAAAAGACACATAATACTGAACACAACGATAACCATGAAAAGGGCTTTATGGGTTTATGAGTGGCAGTTTTTAGCTTCTTTCTTTTAGGTTGTCAAAGTAGGCTTGCATAATATGGTTTGAATTTGGTTAACACATAATTACGTAACTTACCCATAATAAACATATTCAACTATAGTTACTGTGTTACGAACAGTTTTTTTATCATAATTATTAATTTATTTATACTTTTAGATTTTTAAAATGATTGACATAAGATTTTTCATGATTGTCTTTTTTATATTTTACGATGACTTTGTCAGAAATCTTCTTACAGCGCTGTTTAAGATGGACAGTTAGCAAAGCGTTTTTAGGTTTTATAACAATACAAATTATTTTTTTTTCATTACTTTTCCTAGCTTTTCAATTGGTAATCCAATATTTAGAAACGATTATTTTATGAAAAAAAAAACAATGTTTTAACTGATGTCATCTATCTAGATTTAAGAATAATGTAGCAAGCAGATGTGACTATTCTACCGATATGAACTGCTTTGTCGCATCACCAGAAGAGAAGCTGCCTAACCTCCCTATAAATAATGAAAATTAATACTTTCGTCCATCGAAGCACAATACCTTTTCCATTCATTTCGTATTACTACATCACTAAGGAAGATCCTAAATAAATGGTTTCCTTGATTTTTTTCTCTATTTTCAAGCCATTTACACACAAATTACTGCATTTACGATCTCATTGTTAAATAGAATATATTTTAGTAAAAATAAAAACACATGAATTTTAATTATTCGCTTTATTTTGAAATTAAATATCTTAAATAACAATAAAATAAAAACTATAAAGTACTACTTCAATATAACACATTGTCTTGTGTATGCAGCACCTAACAATTTTCAAGCAAACACAAAGTAAAATAATAAATTGGAAATAAAAAATACTATATCACATATTGATAGTCTCATACATCATAAATTTATAGTAACACATTTTTCTAACAGAACATACATAGGTTCTTAAATACTGAAATTACATCACTTTTTCATGTGACGTCATATTTGTAACTTTTTTTAATTTTTTCGTTAAATAGTTTTTTTATTCATACCAGTGTGAACTATAATTCTTCCTAATCGATTTTAATTATCGATTTTAGAGCAAAAAAATTGTACATAAGATCCTATGTATGTATATAAATTATATATACACATAACAATTATGTACTTCATTTAATATATTTTTTATCTTAGATGGATAAATACTTCAAATAACAATGCTTAGAAAGCATGGGAACGGAATGTTATTAAAATAGAAAAGAAGCTAGTTGTAGTTTAGCAATTTTTTTTTTCAGTGATAAAATTTATACATTTTTTGGTAATGAATAGCAAGTATAAGACATATGATAATGTGGGCAATGCTTTAGTTTTCTTTCTTGGACGTAGATTCCTGATAAGTCGGCGGTTGATCCTGAAAAAGATAATATTCCGATTTGTAACAATATAGTTCAAGATAAAACTAGGCACAGAATACAGTCAAGGAATTAAATTCGCAACCCATTTAAAGACGTATATCGTACAGCAAACTGTGACAAGATCAGATGCTAGGAAGATATTATCTATAATTTAGCAAGTCCGATGACACTATCAGAAGTTTTGGAATTGTTTGCATTCTGAACGTCAAATGACATTTCACAGAAATGTTTAGCAAAGCAATGTTTTTGACTGTACAAAAACAAAAACGTCAAAAAGAATAAAAATGTGTCATTTTCTAAACGATTTGCACTTGTTTGTATTCTGATACATTAAAATTTTTTACACTTCCACATTTTTAAACATTTTTGTACTTACATTGTAGGGCGGCGGAACGTACGCCGTTTGCGGCTGATTGGGATCATAGTATGCGCTTTGAGCGGCCTCTGCAGCTTTCGCATCTGCAATTACATTTACTATTGCAAACAATCTACTCTCTAAATATTGACAATACTAAATACCGTCAAGGTTTATTATTTACGTTTATGTTTGTTATTTACTTATGTTACTTTTATCACAAAAACAAATAAAACGCATAGACTTAAAATACATTGTAAAATCAAGTACTTCAAACATTAACATTCAAAAATCAAATAAAGATTGATTACTACATTTAAAACAATTAAGTTTGTAACTACAAAACAATATTAATTATACAAAATACAAAAAGGTAATTGCAAAATAAAACTCTAACCAAACTAAACATTTGTGTATGTATGAATTTGGATGTTACCTCGAGCAGACATGCCAGTTGATGGGGCAGGAGCACTGAAGCCGCCAGGATATCCGGGTGGGGCAGTCGCATTGCCCGGATATCCAGGAGGTGCTGCTCCGGCGGCGCCCGGGTAACCCGGGGGAGCTCCGGATGGACTCCCAGCGCCGGAAAAGCCAGGCCCAGCCGGGTAAGCAGCACCAGCAACTCCAGGGTATGGTGGTGGATTATTGGAGATAAACACCGAGTTTGGTGGCGGTTGATCTGGGAAAGCCTGAACAAAAAATTAACCTTAATATCGAGTCGAGCTTAATAGAGAATACGAGAGCTTCTTCCCATCTTCATATCCATCATATTATGTAATTCATTTTTCATGCTTACAGTGTAAGGCGGCACCCATCCATAGTACCCCTGCGGGGGCGGGGCGTAGGCAGGCGGGGGCGCGGCATGCCACGGACCTGTCGGCGGCATGTATGGCGGCGGTGGAGCGTCCGGCGCGGTGTGACGAGATGCTGGAATTCAATCAGTTATAATAATGCTCCATGTTTATACATCCATCATGACCTAACATCTATACAGTTTGCCCTACTTTAAATATTTTATTATCATTTAGTTAGTATTCCTATTATAGTTTTACATGGAGTAAACATCAAGAGAATGTTACTTTTGTTGTTTATAATTTGCTGCAGTTGTAAAGACAGGGTATGTTTAAACTGAGTACAAATACTGTCTCATGTATAGCAGGTACTTACCTAAATGAGCTGCTTTAAGCATGGCTTGGCCAAACTCAATAGCACCTCCAGATTTAAATGTTAACTTGAATTTCACTTCCCCAATAAAGTTACCATTTGGTTGTGCCCTTACTTTTCCTTTAATGTAATTTGCCGAAAACATGGGTTGTTCAACTGCTACCTAGCAAATTCATAAAAGGAAATAGTGAATTCAACTATAATTTCAGTAAATATATCATAAGAATGTCTAAAACTTATTATACATGAATTGTAAATACTTACATCCTGCAAAGCTATAAATGGAAAGCTAAATGACCTCATAGGATCAGCTGTATTCTTTGAGTTGTAAATCATACGATGTGTTGTGAGGTACATCCGACCAGTCTTGGTGCCTTTAAACTCGGGAGTTTCATTTCCATAGAACTCAACAGTGACATTGTCAGAAAATATTATAATACTGAAATGAAATTAAAATATGTAAATAATTTGCTAGATTTTTCTTGCTTGCAAAATATGTTAATGCCCTTGCCCTTAGTGACTTTTTAAACTAGGTGATTTATAGTTAAATGCTTATACTTGCATATTACATTGTTCAAATTTGAAAAAACAGATACTAAAATTAAGAAAGAGATATGGAATAGAATACATTTTAAACTACTAGATATAGAATGGAATATATTTAAAATACATTTTATTCCATTTCACATTTTAATGTTACTTCATTATCCCTAAGGAAAATGAAACTAATAAACTTAATTAGATATGTGATGCAACATATTGATTGGCATTTTTATGAAACATATTCAGAAAAAAAGCTTTACACTAATCTTTTTATACTAATCCAGATTAACAATGATTTAAAATTACATTTGCTAGATTAATTAGTTGATTGACGTTGAATTTTTAAGTAATTATAGTAGTCAGCTAATCTTAGATTTGAACAAAAAATAATTATTTTTGGCATTATTATTAAATGTCAATTGATAGCTAGTAAAAATTTCATCTTTTAAACTATAATTGTAAAAATAATGGAATTTTGTTAAAACTTGACTCACCATTCTCCAGCATGTATTAAAACGCCGTGGTCGGCGTGAGCTGTATTTAGAGACATATCAAAATAATTTTACTTCAAATATAATACTGAATATTAAAATTATAAGTACAACGTAAATAAATACACGAAATTAGCACTCAAAATCTCGAACTTTTCAGTATGCTGTAGAAAATTATGACTCAGAACAATCAATCATCATTGATAACACAACACCAATATTGCCATTGCGATGTAGTATTGGGTGGAATGGTAGATTGGATTATTTTTCGTAAAAGTTTTTTAATTTTGTAATTGTGACTTACAATACACAACGTACTTTGCGATGATTAATATAAAAATTAAATGTGATTACTATCAGTAGAAATATACCTTTGCTTTGATTTTTAGTGATAGAATTTGAAGAACATTGCTTACAAATAGACTTGTGGCTGTCAGCCTGTCAGCTGTCAACTGTCAGTTGCCAAGTTCCCACGAAAAATTTGAAACTCATTATTTACTGGATTTTACAAATGTCTTACAAATTAAATCATTTTAATAATTTAATGACTTTAAATAACACGATAGTTTGAATTTATTTTATATTTAAATTTTTCCTTGGACTTTCTTTGATATTAAGAGATATTTATTTGTAAATATAAAAAGGGCAGAAATGGCCGATGAATGTAATACAAAAGATACACAAGTTGCTATAAAACCAATCAACAAGGATACAGTACATAAAATATGTTCAGGCCAGGTAAGATTTATTATTGTAAATTGTATAAAAAAGAAAAATAATTTATTAAAATCCAAAAACTTAAGTTGTAATAAAATACCTTTTACTCTAAGTCAAACAAAAATAACTTATTTAAGATTTTTTAAGAGAAGCAAATATTTTGTAATATCTTTAATAGATATTTGGACATTTTGCAATAAGAATCCACCTTGCAACCTTTTAAATTTGTTTAAAACAAGACATTGTCAAACAATCTTAGTATCAAGACAACTGAATATTTTTTATTCACTTACAGGTAGTGTTAAGCTTAGCAGTAGCAGTGAAAGAACTTGTAGAAAATTCATTAGATGCGGGTGCAACTAAAATAGATATAAGACTAAAGAATCATGGTGTTTATCTCATTGAAGTATCAGATAATGGCACTGGTGTTACTGAAGATAACTTCTCAGCTTTAAGTAATTTTTTTTAACACATATGTAGTGGTAGTGTGTATTTCTACTAGTGCAATATCTGTATGTAAACAGTTGTTTCTTTTAATAAATTGTAATCAACCAAAATTATTTTGACAGTGTAACAGTGTTAACAAGAAGCAGATATAATTAAATATTTTATTATTCACAGCTTTAAAATACCACACATCCAAGTTAACAGATTATTCAGATCTACTAGGTGTATCAAGCTTTGGATTTAGAGGGGAAGCTCTTAGTTCTTTATGCGCATTAGCCAAACTAACTATCACAACAAGACATCAAAGTGCTGACTATGGTAATTCTTTACATACATGACTTATTTACTAATTGATGAGAGTAAATTTTTATGTATTAATCATTGTTTATTTCCAGCTACTAAAATTGAATATGATCATAAAGGACACATCATAAATAAAACACCATGTTCAAGACAAATTGGAACAACTGTCACCTTAACAGATTTGTTTTCTTCACTTCCAGTAAGACAGAAAGAACTACAAAAGAATTCAAAGAGAGAATTTAATAAGATGACAAGCCTCTTATATGCTTATTGTTTAATATCTTTAGGAGTAAAGTAAGTATTACTAACTGTGGGTTTCTGAGACCCTGTTTAAAACATATTGGTATTTCTGTTTCATCAAAGATATTAACAGTGATATGTTTTGTACAGAGAATTTGATCTCAGAAACCAATAGTATATTAATTAATTATATAAAGATACATTACTATTATACATTACTTGTTTTATATATTTTTTTATTTGAACTTTTGTAGCATAACATGTAATAATCAATCTAATTCCAATACAAAATCATTAGTTGTTACAACGCAAGGATCAATTTCATATAAAGATAATATTGCCGCTGTGTTCGGTGTAAAACAATTAGATAATTTATTGGACATAAAAACTGAATATGCACCAAATATTAAAGAAAATATTTTCAAAGGATTATCAGGTGAAGTAAAAATATCGGAAGAGAGTATAAATGTGGAAGATACAGAAATAGATTTGTCTGAAGATTCCAATGATGCTGAGAATAATGAAATTAGTAATACTCAAGATAGCATACAAAGTTCTCAAAAATCTCAAGGATATAAAAATTGTGCTCCCCCAGTAGAACTTGTTGGATACATATCTACATGTGCTCATGGATGTGGCCGTTCTAGTGCTGATCGTCAATTTTATTATGTGAATTCAAGACCTTGTGAACCAACTAAAATTATGAAACTTATCAATGAAATTTATAGACAGTTTAATCCTCATCAGTACCCATTTGTTTTTCTGAATATTGTCTTAGAGAGAACATTAGTAGATGTCAATGTTACGCCAGACAAAAGAAAACTATTTTTAGCAAAGGAAAAAGCTATCCTTGATGTAGTCAAATGTTCCATAAGTAAGCTGTTCGAAAATATCCCAAGAGTTGTGAAATTAGAAACTGCACATTCGATAAATAATACCCAAATTGTACCAGATATGGAACAATCAAGGATTTTTAATTCATTCATGCAGCAGTTCAGTAATAAATCAACTAAATCTGATATTAAAACAAATGGCAACACAGAAAAAAAGCCTGAACTTAAAAGAAAATCTAACACATTATTAGATTATGCCATATCAAAATCGAAAAGAGTGGAAATCAATCAAAATAGTGAAGATGACATGAAACTTTGTGATGAAACTGAGTTTAATGTAACTGAAGATGAAAATATAAATGATCACACATCTACTTCAAATACAATAGTAAAAAAAGAACCTGCCAATGATGTCGATGAAGAGTCTAGTGATATACCAGCTGAAAATGAAAAACCTGAAGTTATGTATTTGGAATTTTCAAATGAACTACCTAATACTCAAATCAGAAATATTTCCGATGTCGTTATTGAGAAATCAAAAACAATATTTTGTAAAAATACAAATACCCCTGTAAAGCCTATACTTGCTCTTACACCTAAAAGTAAAAAACAAGAAGTTGTAACTGACAAAGAAGAACTTGGAAAATACAATAGAAAATCAATAATGTTAAAAACTTCTATTGATCATGTTGCTAAATTAGCAGAAATATACAACAACCAAAAGCAGAAGATTAAACCTGATAAAATAAAGTTCAAAAGTGAAATCAATCCTGTTCATAATAAAAAGTGTGAAGAAGAATTGAGTAGAGAAATATCTAAAGATTCATTTAAGGATATGATTGTTATAGGTCAGTTTAATTTGGGTTTCATAATAACTAAGTTAGGTGAAGATTTATTCATTATCGATCAACATGCCACAGATGAAATATATAACTTCGAAACTTTACAAAAGACGACAGAACTTACAAGCCAAAAATTAGTTATGTAAGTAAAAGTAAACTAAAGTGTAAATTACTTGGGTAAGTTCAAATTTTATTCCAGCATTCAATTTTACAGACCACAACAACTTGAGCTCTCAGGAGTTAATGAAGAAATATTAATGGATAATCTACAAATATTTAAAAAGAACGGATTTACATTTGAAATTGACGAAAATGCTTTACCTACGAAAAGAGTTAAATTATTGACCATTCCAATGTCAAAGAAATGGATATTTGGCAAAGATGACATCGAAGAACTTTTGTTTATGTTGCGTGTAAGCAAACCTTCATTTATTTACAACTGTCGCCCGACCCTAAAAGTGTCCTATGTGTGCTTTCATGCTATGCTATACATCTATGCCATATTTCAGGAAGATCAATCCAGCCGATCTGGAGATACCTTATTACAAACATCCATCTATCTAAACTTTCGCATTTATAATAATAGTAAGATTTAGTTTAGAAGCACAACAATTAAATATAATGTAAAATTGTAGTCAAAAACATCAATTGATCTCATTATAAAAGATATGTTTAATTTTCAGGAAAATGATTCAGAGTACTGCCGGCCGAGTCGTGTGCGTGCAATGTTCGCATCAAGAGCCTGTAGAAAATCTGTTATGATTGGAACAGCTTTGAGTAAAGCTGATATGAAAGTTCTAGTCGATCACATGGCAGATATAGACAAACCTTGGGTATGTACTTTTTATGTTACATAATATAGTCTTAAACCTTGATAAATACACAACAGTAAATAAAATCAGCCAGTATATTATTGTTTTCCAGAATTGTCCGCATGGCAGACCAACAATTCGCCATCTTGTTAATCTAGCGATGGTGCATACTGAATAAAAAAGGTCTACTTGTAATCAATTGAAAATCATGGTATTAGTATTTATATATATCAGAAATGTTGAAATAAAAGTATTATATAACTTAATATATTTTATTTTAAACACTTATAGTTTTAAATATATTAAAACCAGTGTGTGCTGTTGTAACAATAACGCCGGGGATTTGTTTATGCCAATGAAGCTCCTTAATTTCAGTCTGCCCTTGATGAATGAATAATAACTGAGGTGGTAGATTCTGTAACAAATAAAATATAATTTATTATCTTACTAATATTATAAATGCGAAAGTTTGGATGGATGGATGGATGGATGTTTGAAAGTATGTCCAGGCTCAATGTATTTTGATGAGATTTGGCACACATGCAGAACACAGTCTGGAAGAACACACAGACTACTTATTAAGCTTATTCTTTTAATTCTGCATGGACGGAGTTGCGAGCTAGAGCTAGTTATCAAGAAGAATTAGTCCCAAAAAAGAAAAAGTATTACATTTAATTAATTTTCAGTAAAAGGTTTCAGGCAAACATCATACATTATTTTCTTACCTTTAGTTCTTCATCAATTACTTCATCGTCATCTCTTTCTACCGCCAAGTCCCAGAGTGCGACTTGATTGTCCTCTCCCGCTGAAGCTAAGACGCTTGGCTCTGTCCAGTGCCACTCTACTGATGTTACTGGTGCTGTATGATGCTTAAACGTACCAACAGGAGAGTTGCTAGTAAAATTCCTCAAGTCCCAGATGTGAAGGAAACCATCATCACCACCTGTAAGATAAGCAAACTTTTTTATTGATTCATAGCTTACAAGAAATTAAGTTTGGCAAAGGAAATGTGCAGATAAATAATTTAATTAATCAATTCCTTTTCTTTGTGTTAATGTTAAAGGTGTATATATTATAGTTACTTTTATTTTTTTTTCTTAATTTAGTCTTTAAAGGCATTTTGTTGCAATGCGACCATACCACCCCACAAGTCCACTAATTAATAATACATCTAATCAACTAATCTAATCAACATATGTCCTGACCCCATTAATCGAGGGGTATTCAACTCCTATTGGGTTGTTAGAGCTTACCGCTAGCTATAAATGGTTCCTTGTTGTTCCAAGATATAACATTAACATCACTTTGGTGAGCATTCTCAGCAGTCAGCATGCAGGCTTTCTGTGGTCCTGCTCTTGTGTCCCAAATCCGTATTGATTTGTCAACTGAACATGATGCTAATACATTTCTGAAAAAAAAAATCCATCTATCTTATAAAACAAATATAACAATACCTTTTTGTGAAATAATAAATATCAGTAGAATTTAGTGTAGATTAAAATTGTCTTTAACAATAATAATTCTGACAAATTGTTTAGAAGATATCACAATCACAAACAATAAGTGTTATGCCTTACCTTTCGTTGGGTGACCATTGGATATCTTCAACAGAGTTTGTGTGTCCCACTAAAGGGCGCTGATCTACATTCCATGTCCCACCTTCATTTGGTTTCCAAATATGTATGTCTCGTCTGCAATCACCTGTTGCTAGAACCTATCAAACATTTAGCTCATTAGTACAGAACAGGACATATTTTATGATTAAATTATATTTAAAACATGTATACCTACACCTAGTTCTGTAGGACACCAATCAATACCAAACCCTTCTTGTTGGTGTCCATTGAAAGAGTAGAGTGGCCTTACTGGGGTGGTTACATTAGTAAGGTTGTATCTCTCTAGTAGTATGGGATCATCAACAGCCTGTAGCTGCTGTGTTATATTCCACACATTCACTACACCCAGTTCAGACCAACTTGCAGCTAACACTGAATTCCTAAAATTTGTAGTCTGAAAAAAATAACAAATTGTTTTCCTATTTGTATCCAACTGATCTTGGATTGTAATAAATCAAAATGTATGCATGTTCCTTCCAGTTGTCAGGTTTTTTTTTTTAGATTAAGTGTTACTAGTTACACACCCTTATTCTGGTGACACAGCCTTCATGTTTAATAAATGCAAATGTCATATTAGGTTTCTTTTCTTCATCTTCTTCCTCATCTTCATCATCCTCATCATCTGACTCTTGGTCCTCATCTGGTTTTGTTGTGCAATGAAGATTTGACATTTTCATTACAATGACACTGTAAAATATAGCAATAATACAAATATATAAGTTTTTAAAGTAATTTTGTTATTCAATATTTAAAAAAAAATTTGACTTTCATTTAATAACAAAAATAATTAACGTGTGCACACAGGATGCCATATATATAAAAAGAAAACAAAAGTCTGTAAAATTCCCTTACTTATTAAGGTGTACACTTGAAGCCTGCGTTCCAGCAACCATATAGGCAGTCATAGGATATTCAGTTCTATCACTGCCTAAATTATCCGTGACTATATCGAAACTAAGACAAGGTGCACCCGTCTGAGCTTGATGTAGCATCACATATGCTGACTGGTCACAAACTAGATGTTCGTCTTCTTTTAGCGGCTGACCGGGAAGATATGTTTTTGGACCACTTTCTTCATCTTCGGCCATTTCTTCTTCTTCTTCATTCTCACTACCCGAAGAACTTGCCTCCATATCTTCAACATTATCGTCAGACATGATTGCTCAAAGTTGCAGAACAAATTTATATATACAACAATTAATAAAACTGTTTTCTAGCTTCTTTCATACCATGCGGGCCATGCGACAATTGTCAAATAGAATTGTCAATGTCATTGTCACTTCAAATTTTGGCGTTCAGTTCAAAAACATTTACATTTTGGATTAGTTTTTATTCGATTAAAACATTTAAAGTAAAAAGATTCCCATTACTGCTACCTATTTATTGTATCATTTACCTATATGAAGAAAGTTTACATTTGTTACGTTACCTTAATCCGTATCCAAATATTTTTTTGCATACACTGTGGTTATTGTTGACATCTCGTGTTATTTTTGTTGAAACAAACAGCTGTCGTATATTATTTAGGTTATTTTGGACATGACTAAAAGAAACAATTAAAAACTGTTTTTCGGTTTGTGAATTTTAAATAAAAGGATTTTTTCACGACAGACTAGGAAATTATTTGTAAAGAAGTGATTTAAATATAGCATCGTCTTTATAATGGTTCACTTGAAGAAGCATTACCATCGGCGTTTTTGAAGTTAAATGAACAAACATATACCAATACACGACGCCTCAACTAACGTATAATTTTAATACAAAACCTTGACGAAATCAGATATTCAATATGGCACTTTTTAAAATATGTGCTCTGAGAAATATTCGAGTAAGTTTAAAACGTTTCGACTTTGCATTTTATACAAATTATGCCTCCGCTCCAAATACATTTTATGATAATAGATTGAAACAGGTGCCTAAAACAGAAGCGAATTTGAAATTTATTGAGGATCCTGACACATTTGGCACGTTGTCAACTAAATTTAAAAGTAATCCTAATGATGTGCTAGAAGATGAAGGAGATATAAAAGAGCAAGAGTTTCTTGAAAAACTTCCTCTACCAAGCCAAAAGTTAACTATAAAACAGTATGCTGATCTTATAAAACAATATATAAAACATAAACGTCTTAAAGAAGCCATAGATGTATTAGAAGTAAGAATGTTAAAACAAGATAGAGTTAAGCCTGAAAATTATATTTACAATATTTTAATAGGAGCCTGCGCTGATGTAGGGTATACCAAAAAGGCATTTAAACTATTTAATGATATGAAAAGAAGAGCTCTTAAACCTACAGGTGATACATACACCTGTTTGTTTGAAGCTTGTATTAATAGTCCCTGGCCTTTGGATGGTTTGAAGAATGCAAAGCACTTAAGAGAATTAATGATAGAAAAAGGTGTGGAACCAAATCTCACAAATTACAATGTAATGATAAAGGCTTTTGGTAGATGTGGTGACCTTCCAATGGCTTTTAAAATTGTAGATGAAATGATTTCAAAAAAAATTAAAATAAGAGTACACACTTTCAATCATCTTCTACATGCTTGTATCAATGATAAAGAGCATGGTTTGAGACATGCTCTTCTTGTATGGAGAAAAATGTTGAGTATGAGAGAAAAACCAAATGTTTACACATTCAATTTAATGTTGAAATGTGTTAAAGATTGCAATTTGGGTTCTAAAGAAGATATTAAAACTTTAATTGAAGCTATTCAAGACCAAGTTATTTTTGACTTGAGCAGAGTAAACAAAATACAGATAGAATCAAATAAAAATGTCAAATATATTGAAAGTCCAAAATTAGAAAAACAAAATATAGGAAAACAGTCAATAGCTCAAACTTGTGATGAATCAATAGATACTAAAGAGATAGATTCAGAAGATGAAAATTTTGTTCCTAGCGGTGGAACAAGTAAAGAAATAACTGTTCAAAATCAAAACTCAATTACTTTACTTCCAAAAGAATATAAAAAAACACAAAACGAAAAAAGGATGGTTCCCAACTTATTATCAAAGTTATTACAATTAAATCAAGTGTTATCACTTCAAGAAGTAGAAACGTTACAAGATAAATTTGCAATCGTTGGTGGACAAGAAGATTTTCTCAAAGAAATGGAGGCACTATCTGTAAAACCTGATATTAAAACATTCACACAAATGTTACCTTTAATAGATGAAAGTAGGGATTGTGAATTAAATATAATTGAGAAAATGAAGTCTTTAAATGTGAAACCAGATATAGATTTTTATAATATGCTTATTAAGAAAAGATGTTTAAGAATGGATTATGATGGTGCATTTGTAAGTATATATAAATGTAAACAGACTTACTGAAGTAATGACAATTTCTAATTCTCTATTTTTACATTTTACAGCTTATTAAAGAATTAATAGAAAATGAAGTTAAAAATTGCAAAAATAGTTATCAACGCAGAAAAGCTATAAAATGTAACATCCTGACATATGGAGTGTTGGCGATGGCTTGTAAAACACAAGAAAATGCTGAAAAATTACTTAATGAAATGAAGGAAAAACAACTGAAGTAAGGTCATGTTTAATACTATTCCAATATCAAACCATCAAAAAATTGAGTAACAACTTGACTCTCTTACTAACGTTATAAATGTGAAAGTTTGGATATTAATAGCTCAACAGAATACTGTTATTTGGTATAAATGTGGTACATAATCTACTAATTAGGGTTTTTTTAATTATGCTCAGTCGCAGTCAAATGCTAGTTAATAATAACATACTCTTGTACTAAATGTAAAATTGTGATTGTTTCAGAATTAATATAGAAATTTTAGGAACATTGCTAAGACATGGTACAGCACAATTAAAATTTCCTTATGTTTTGTACATCATGGATATTCTAAAGGAGGAGAATCTAAGACCAAATGAAGTATTTTTAAAACATTTAGAAGCTTTCCATGACAAATGTGTCAATGTTATACATAAGGTAAAAAACTTTTTCATTATTTTGGGGTCAGATCTATGAATTATCTTTTCTTTGATTAATAATTTTATGAATGTATGTTTTTAGAATGAAACAAGTACAAATAAAAGTTTGTCTTGGGCTTGCAAAAGTTTCCTCAGCAAATATAAGACATGGCTAAAAGATGTGCACATAGAAGAAGAACATCCTTGGAAACAATTTATGGAACCACATTCTGAAACTGTGCAAAGGGATAACATTGAAATAAAAGAACCGAAAAGGTTTTATAAAAGAAATCGACAATTTATTCGTTACGCTCCAAGAGTTTGAAATACAAACTGGTACTAAATATAATGTTTATTTATTTCAATACAAAGTTGAACTTCTTATATTTTAATATGGTGTAATTTTCGGTTTAACTCTTCAAACTTTAGCAGCTTACGGATGAAGAAGTCGCCATAGCGGTGAGCCACCTTGGTGTCGGCAATGTGGATCATGTCATTGTCAATATAGAAATCCAACTGTAACAAAACCATTTGTATCAACTTTTAGTACTTTAAAAATACATTGTTATTAAAAAAGACATACATTCAGAGTGTATGCGCTTGTCAGCAGATAAAATGATATTAATATATTCAAATCTGTATAGTGAATACAAACCTCAGAACCACTCTGGAACTTTCCATCAAGTCCACTAGGTCCCTTGGTCCAGACAACATTCTTCATCTTATGCTTGAAGCAGAGCAGGTGTATAGCGAGGGCGGCGTGCTCGCGGGCCGCGTCACGGTCGCTGCCGCGTGCCGCTGACATGAAGGCCGCCAACTTAGCCAATGGCAAGGTCGTGTACAGCTTTAGGTAAGACCTGATTGTTGGCAGCATCTTTTGTTGACGTACCTGTATACGAAAGAATAAAACTGTTAAGCGCGAAATACATCAATAACAATTTAGTAATGTAACTTTATAGATTTAAACTTGTTTTTTGCTGTTGAATAGTTACAATGAACTGCATCCGCCATTACACTTGAACTTACAAACATTATTATCTCAAATTTTTCAAGAATGTAAGGAATGGCAACATTATTGTAGTACAGATATTTCTATTAAAACTTGTTAATCTATAAAAAAACTATGACGACTGTGTACCTCATCCATAAAGACTTGAGTCTGATGCTTGACGGCGTCGCGACTGTAGTTGGAGCCGGGCTCGATGGGCGGAGGGCACGGCGACAGAAACTTGGGGCAAGCGAACGTGAAGCAACTCTCGAACTCACTCATCTCGCCGTACTGCATCTTGTACATCTTTTCATGGTAATTCTTCTCACGGAGCACCTAATAAGTTATTAACACTTGTAAAACCACCAATTCGAATACACATGGCTCTTCTACTTTTAACTATAGAAAATATATAAAGAAGATACCTGCTGTATGGACTCGTCAACACATTGAGGATGGAGTACCAGGCAAATAGCCAGAAGATGGTACATCTGATCAGTCTGCTTATTGATCTGATCATTCTGGTAGGAGCGAGCAGAAAACAATTGCTTCGTGCGCTGTATGTATAGCAGCGCGGACGACAGTGTGCGGATGGCATCGGAGTACCGACGCATCATCATGTAAGCAAAGCCTACATAATAAGATGTAGATATCTGGCATGCAGGCACATGAGAGTACTGGGACTTCTTGTGTAGCTCTATGTTTTCCAGCACCTGGAATACAGTTAAAATTAAATCTAATCTAGTAAATTTATTAATAACATACAGAATTTTTTTTGGAAGGAACTATTTCTTCAATATATTATATACAATTAATATATACTTGTACAACACCAGTTGATTTAATTAGATTTGTGAGTAATGTATTATTTTGAGCAATGAACTATATTTAACTATTTATATAATCCACATACAATATCAATTAAACTTTCAATTAGTGCATAATGTAACAAAATATTGTGAATAACTTATTATTATTTTAACAATTACCTTAATAGCTTGGTAATAATCACCAAGCAAAGAATGAAGTCGGAGTAGACCCACAAGAGAGAAATATCCCAACATCTTGTACAGGGCATGACGTCCAAATTCCCCGGCCACTGAATCTGGATCACCACCGGATGCGTAAACCTATTTATTTTATTACTTTTAGAATATTTCAACCAATGCAATAAACTGAGTTACATTTCTAATATGTAACAGAATGTTACATCACTTTATCAATAAAGTGATGTAAATTTAAGGGTAAATTTTTTCATAATGAAATAGACAAAGGTAAATGGGTTAAAATTAATAATCTTACTGTAAAATTCACAATAACACAATTGTTTTCTTAAAATCTTACTTGTTACATTTCATATTTTAGTTCCTCCATTTTAAAATAAAAGATGTAAATGTTACCTCAAGTTGTTTCTTGATGTTAGACTTGTCAACAAGAGAGTGTAAAACATTGAGGATGCAAAGAACATTCCACGCCTTGTTCTCAGTATTGAGAGTTTCAATCTCAGCTTGACTTAATTTTGAGGTTCTAGACCTGCAATTGACAAAAGTTTAATGAAGTCACAGTATATAGCTGCCACAACTTTTAAATTCACTATAGTGGTGTACATGAAGTTTAACTGTGTTAGAATGTTGTAGGCTTAGTTTTATCTGTTTTAGTTAAAATTTTACAGCAAATAATATGTGATTTCCAGAAGTATATTTTACCTGTACTGGGCGAAAGATTGAAATTGATAAACAAATTCATCAACAAGCTCCCACAACCACTGATCAGGTAACTCCAGTGGCACAGGAGTCTCTGCAGACAAGATATAGTTGAACAGGTCACAGTAGTTGTAGAATGAATGGAAACGCTGCTCAGGTTTGGGACCTCCTGTCACTCGGGAGTAAATGTCCCTATAGTACAATTCTTTGTACAAGATCATGAATATCTATAAAGAAATAATGTTATTAAAACACCTAAAAACATTTTTAATTACAAATATTAGGTTTTCAGATATCTTAGGGGCATAGTGTAGATGACCTAGAGCCACCATGAAGATTATAAGGGTCTATATATATTAGTCCATGTGATCATAAATAATTTGGTACTTTTACTCTCTAAAATTGTCATTTCTTCAAGATTTGAGATGAAGCTTATGCTTCATCTCAAATCTTAGCTATATAATCTAATTTGGTTACTTATTAGTCATAAAAAACCTAACGTACCTTCAACTGTATTTAAACAAATCAGGTTATTAAAAAATACTGATAACAGTTATCCCATTTTTGATTGATTTGTAAATGTCTGTCAATGTTTACTTACATGATCATTATCCACAACAGGGGCAACTTCACTCTCATCGGGCCATGGTGAGTTTTCAAAGTACTGCTCTGTGAGCTTAGGAAAGGTATTCTCATACAAGTTCAATATTTCAAATGTTACCCCTTCTGTTATCATATTACGAAAGTAAAGAAGAAACTTCTTGACCTGCAAAAATTGTAATTATAGTTTATTATGTTCCAATGTAAGGTCACAAAAACATACGAAATATTTAGAACTAAAGTTTACCATTTCGGGCATTTTGTAATAAGATCGATCGTACTCCAAATCATATTGAGGGTCTCCAGTATGAGGTTCATAGTCACCGTAGGATTCGTAACCTCCCTGAAAGGGAATGAATAGGTAAAGGTTAACGCCACGACAAATTTTGACATGTAACTAACCAATATCTAATATAAGTATTTTAAATGCACGTCACTTACCTCGTTATAATCGTCACTCGAATACATTGTAATGTCTCTTTTTGACTTAACTGTACATTTGAAAATAACTCGTAATACAAATTAACTTCGCCGACTTCGATATTTAGCCAGCAAAGCGCTTTGAAAAGACAGCAAGAAAGAATAGAGTATAGAGTTACATGCTATTTGGAAATAGAGTTTTATAGAGCGTGGTTAGATTAAAAATTATAGATTTTGATTATAAAAGAAACTAAGACCTCTAAACACTAAATTTAATAATGTCTTCGGTTATAAAATGTGATGATTAAACCTTATGCGGAAAATTCATGAAACTGTTTTTTATGATAACGGGTAAAGGCAATTCGCGAGGAAAGGAAGTTAAAGTAAGAAACTGGAAGAAAAAGAAAAGAAATAAAAACGCTGCTGTCAGCTGTAGCCTGTAGCTGTCACCTGTCAGGCTGTCACCAAATCTATATCTGAAGACGGTGTCGAATAATATTAGTATAAAGCAAAAGGCCAAAATAGGTGTTAAATTTTGTATCACTAATATACCGTACCGAAAATGTTTGCCAGAAATATAACTAACGTTTTCGTCCGTAATTCATTTTTGGGCCAATCATCAAAACTTTACCGTAATATTTCAATTACGACTGTAAATCATGACATCGTTAAAATACAAAGCACAGATGATTTTAAGGAAAAAGTAATAAACAGCAAGGTCCCAGTTGTTGTGGATTTCTTTGCTACGTAAGTTGGCGTTAAAGTACATCAATTTGATAAAATTCGCAATTATCTTTTTATATAAATCGTTAAAATATTACGCAATTATAAGCTTATTGTGTTGTTGGTTATGACTATTGAACAAAATCTAATAAGAATCACTTGTCTATGAATATAAATGTATCCCAAAACAAATTATCTACAAGAGTGTGAATTTTTTTTATTTTTGTAATTCTAGGTGGTGCAACCCTTGTAGGCTGTTAACGCCACGTCTAGAATCTATTATCTCAGAAAACAAGGGTAAAGTAATTTTGGCTAAGGTGGACATTGACGAACAAACTGATTTGGCTCTAGACTATGAAGTAAGCTCTGTACCTGTCCTTATTGCTATGAAGGATGGTAAAGTGCAGCATCGTCTAGTTGGGTTACAGGACACCGACAAATTAAGGAAGTGGATTGAACAATTTACAAATGAAGAATCTAAAGCCAAAGTTAAGGCATAAATTAGTTGTTGTACTTATTGTTGAAATATCTATGTAGTTGATGGAATAAATTAAAATAAAACAAAGTTGACTATTCTTCTAGGCATTGTATTAAACTCCTAGCTCTTTTATAAACAATATCATCAGGCTTCTTTATGGAAGCATTCTCTGAGTCTTCAGTTTCGGTATTGTTCTCTTCATTATTTTGTGATTCAGTCCAATCATCCATTTGTTCAATGACTTTATTGGCATCAGCCAACAGCATATTTCTTATGTTACCTTTTGCAGATTCAAAATACTCGAGCAGTATTGGCCATGAAGCGTCTGGTACTAAGTTTGGAAAAAACTTATTCTTAAAAAGCCAAACTTGTTTTGCTTTCATAAATTTCCAGTTTGATTTATCATGTTTCCACTGTGATAAATAATTAAGGCATTGTGATTTAAGTTGATCTTTAGCTTGTGCCTCAGCTGCAGCTTGCCTTTCTGCATGCTTTTCTTTTTTCATTTGGCGTATAGACTTTTTATTTTTCTTATCTGAAGATTCTGTAGATTCTTGCATTTTCTTTTTTTTCGATCTTTTTTGTTTTGGGTCTGTATCTAAGTTGTCATCATTGGTATCGCTGTTAACATGTTTTCTTTTTTGTGATTGCTTTTCTACGTCTCTGTTGTCTTCAAAATCATCAACTCCAACTTCGTTTTTTTCTGTGTTTACGTCTTCGCTGTCAATAGCTTTTTCATCAATATCTTGACCTTTGTTTTTGCTCTTGTTTTTCTTCTTACCACCCATTTTATGTATATTAATTTAATATGTTTTTAGTTAACCTTACCTTAGAGTGTGACTGTTGTCATGTGCTAACATATTGTTTATTTGAGATTTGAGGTTATTTAAATGTCAATGTCAAGATTAAAATTCTGAAAATACGCTAATTTTTACGCATTTTAATGAACCTGCAACAAGAGCATTTCTTCACAAATCTTAAATTGGGTAGAAGTATCGATTTGATATTCGGTAAAATCGAATAGAATAGTAGACATAACTTGGACATAACGGAAGTAACTTTACTAACGTTGATATGATATAATTAATTGCATTATAACAGAAAAAGACACTACGGTTTTCCTAAATATATCTGTAGGCGTCGTTCCTTACGGACGAAAATCTGATCCAATCCTAATTCAATTAGAACTCAGACTTTTAAAAAATACCATTGGCGGGATAAAAAAAAATGGATTATGAATTTACATATACAATATTAAATCTCTAATAATTTTGTTTATTTAAATTCATAAAAGTGTGTTTTATTTTGTACTACATTTTGTAAACTTTCACCGCATGGTCACCCAGCTGTCGCAATTTTTGGCACGTCACAGCCGCGTCATCATGTCTCCGTGTCTGCTTTTATCGCTGGGGAATTAAATTATTCGACATTATCACACCTAACTGACATCATTTAATGTGGTCTGCTTTTTAATAAAAATAAATTCAGAGATGGAGCTGCTGAGCCAGGTGTCCAATGTGCAGTTTTTGTACCCTGTCGCAGCTGTTGCCGTTGTTTTAGTATGTGCCGCGTTAGTATTTATTTTCGGTTTTCATTCGGCGGAACAACCACAATTCGATAAGTTGCCTCTTGTTTTGGACGATAGAAAGTCATCTAACAAGAAGAGGAAAATCAAGGAGAAGGTAAGGTATTATAACATATGTCAATGGATCCCGGCCGTGACTGCAATGTGCGCTCATTTTATTTTTAACCTGTTAGCATATGCGCTGGATCTATTTCTTTTATTCTACAAAATTAATTATCTTATGGATCGATGAAGTAAATCATTATATTTTATTTTAGAAGTCTTCACCCAACCGCACAGCCGATGAGGTAAAGACAAAGACAGAGACCGCCAAAAAATCTCCCGCCAAAGAGAAGAAGGAAGAAAAACCTGAAAAACAAAAGGAACCTGAAAAACCCAAACCTAAAGAAAAGGCACCTGAGCCCAAACCAGTAAAGAAAGAAGCTAATGATGTGAAGAAAGGAAAAAAGAAACCATTGGTTGAAGCAGAGAAGCCAGCTGATTTTGATGAAGGTGTCTGGGAAGAGGTGCCAAAAAAGAGTGATAAGAAAAAAGTGAAAGGTCCCGAAGAGAAGGATAAGAAAGACAGTCCAACTAAAAAGAATAAGAAGAAGGCTAAGGACGCTGATGTTGAAGCAGCAAGGCCTGCTGATGAATCCTCTGAGGAGCCTACAAAAGTGATTGTTACTATAGAGACACCTCTTGATGAGGAATCTAGCCGTGCCCTGCAAGCACAAGTTGAAGAGTTCCAGCGTGTGCTTAAGGAGGTAAATACAATTTTTTATTGTTAATTGTTGACCTACTAACTCATAATTTTTTTGGCTCATTTATTATAAGAATATATTGTGTTTTTAATGTTATTGTCTTTAACTGGTTCATATTTATATATTTTACTCAGTGTATTATTTTAAAAGTCTTACAGTCAAAGTAATTTTACTTTAGGCACAATATTGTTATGCATATTTGTAAATAAAAAAAAGAATATTTATGAAGGATAAGAGTATATATGAATTTTATGAAGGTTTTTACATATTTACAAAGTAGAAATACTTTAGTTCAAATAAAGACTTATTTATACAACTAGGATTATGTATCAGAAGCCTTACATTAGTTAGCCATGTCTATGTTTGTATTTACAGGCTGAGCGTCGCGACCAGGCTGCACTTGGTAATTTGGAAGAAGATGATGCAGGGGATGAGGAGCTGCCTGAAGTGAAAGACCTGAGGAGCAACAAGAAGAAAGAAAACAAGGAAAAGCAGATTAAGAAAAAGGCAGTTGAAGTGAGTATTGCCTTAATAAAGAAATAGTATGTTCTTTTATTAAAGCCAGTTAGTACCAGTAAAAAAAAAACCTAATTTTTTAAGTCATAAAAAAATAATTCATTATGATTATTGTTTTAATTTTAAGAACACTATTAATTTTATATAACACCAGCTGTCTACCTCAACTCCATCTGTACGAAGTTAAAGACAAAGTTTATGATAACATCAGACTATGTTTTTCAGACTATATTCTATATTTATGCCAAATTTCTGGAGATACCTTCAAACATCCACAACTAATCATTCGCATTTATAATATTTGTAAGATTTTAGAGAGAATAGACATAATAATAGCCTATAAATATTTGAGTAATACATTTAATATATTTGCGATTGACATTAAAATGTTAAATCAGTTCATTTAGACTATTTTGTAAATTCAAATGTCATGCATTTGCTAAATAGTATTATAATAATAGTCTATTCACATATGGTCCTCTTTATTTTGATATGTTTTAGTGCTTGATAATGCAATTTATCTACACAAATGTAAAAACAAAAGGTTTGATTGTTTAAAAAATTGCAAAACTAGAGAGACATTTTAATATGTGTGCAGTTTGGTTACATTCTATTTCTAAAGAACTAATGACTACTGAACTATGACTAAAGAAAAACCTTTTTAAATGATTAGTAGTTGTCTAAAGATTATATCAATTCTACTCAAGCTCTTATGTGGTACTCAGTTCCTTTTCCAAATTGCAATGGCTTTACTTCTGTGCTATATAGTGTATGTCCATAATTCAAGTTTTGAATTTTAAATAAATCTGTGAATGTGTTATTGCCATCAATTTAAATTCAGTTTATAAGTCATAAGTGTGTATTCATTTATTTATCTTATTCTTAATATATTACATTTCATATATAAAATATATTATATTAAAAATAGAGCACTATCGGCTGTGGAATCCGGTAAGTCATAATGTATGTTATTGTAATCATAAAGATGATTTTTTTATTTCAGTCTGCTGCGGCAAAGAGCACTCCTAAAGGTGATGAGAAGGATGCCTCTGATTCCTCTGAAAAGCAAGATGATAATCAAAATGTGCCTGTTTTTGATGAACTTGGCGGTAAGTTATGTTTTAAAAAATAAATTGAGATTTACCTGAATAAACATGTACGTTAATTTTCGCTAATCCTTGTAGGTTAAAAAATATGTCTAATAATTTTATTTTTATTTTAGCTATCCATTTTATACAGATTCATATCTTACAATTTTTTCAAAATTATATTTGCTATCAAAATTAATACAAGTTAAAATATAAAGAAAATGATGTTTTTATGTTTACTTTGGAAAAGATTATAGATATGATATTGTCATGTTTCCAGATACTTGGACGGACGCCAAGGTGTCTAAGAAGAGCAAGAAGAAAGCCCGCAAGGAGTAGTGAATGTGAGTAGTAGAGGCGCGGTGCTCGCCGCTAGCTCAATGCCACTCACACTGCACATAAAACTACAACTTGCATAACATACTATATTACAAATTATATTCTAAATTTACATGACATTTAAATTTAAAAAAAAAATAATGTGTTTGTTCTCTTTTATCATTATTGACATTTAAATTTTATGATGGTGACATTTTGTAGTTTTAATGTGGTGTGAAATTGTTTACGTTAAGTTATAATTATAAGATTGATAATTGTTTCTTACACATTCAGTTAATTTACGTCCATGTTTTAGTTGCTTATATTTTATGTTATGGATTTGTTTTTTTATTTCATTATAATTTAATATTTGTTTAATGCATAATATGGTTTGTTTTGGTATGTTAAGAGTCATTACATTCTAGAAGGAGCCTTTTGGAATCTGCAATATGTGTTGATGTAAATCCGGCACATGTTATGTATGCTGGAGGTTGACAGGTCATGGCTCTGTGAACTGTTCTAGTGTATTCTGACCTGTATCTATAAGAAATGTTTCCATACAGACATTCATGAATTTCTGGTGCTTGTAGAAGTAAGTGTATTTTCCTCATTTCATTCCAGCTGTGAGCGTAACATAGGCTTGTAGGGGATTTATTTCTTTTTCTTTGTGTTTGTGTTAATAACAATTATAATAAATGTTTACACATTACAAAACGCGTAATAAAAACGTGCAATGCAATTTTTTTTAAGGTTTGTTAATTCATAATTTAGGAATATTGTAATTCACTTTTTGTATATTTGAATTTTATATGTTATCATAGCTTTTCTTATAACGCATCTAACACGAGTAATTTCCGTCCGTACTAATTTATTAATAAGACATTGCTAATTTTTCATAATTTCTTAATAAAATTTTCTTGTTATTTGATTAGATTGACACATATCTTGTACTGGGGTGATATTGTTAAAGTATGAATTTCTGTCGGAGCTGATATGTGAAACATCGATTTTTTATTGCAGATTCCTATTTTGTATATCTAGGTTTAAGTATAAAATACTATACAGAATGCTGGAAATACAGAAATAATAATTAAAAGTTCTTATCGACTCCATATATAAATTCTAATTTATTATGTAATTATTATTTTATAGGATAATGTTGGTAGCAATGTTTACTCGCTGGACAAGTTACTCGAGTGACATAGCTCATAGACTTTTAATACTACGAATTTCTAAACTAAATGGGGTTGTAGGCTGTGCAATAATTTCTTTTTTCTGGGTTATTTCCCAAAACTTATTGCCTGACTCATATTTACATCTGTCTTGAAAAGTTATACTCATTTTGTTGAAAATGTACTATAAATGGAATGGTTACTCTATAGTTGTGACTATTCATTGCTGTTATTTGGGTTACAAGAAACTAGAGACCAACTTGCTTGTACTAAGACATTTTTCTGAGACATCACATTGGGACCTTACAGTTCCTTACGAGAAATGTACATGTGATTCATGGAGTTTTTACTATTACATTATTTGTTATACTTTCCTCATTCTTCACCATTTCTTCAAATAGATGTTAAGCCATGTTATCATATATAATTTACAAAATGGAGATGCACTTTTGTGATATCTTTTTGTGTTGTATGTTGGTAGTGGTAGGGGCTAGTTTACAATGGTCACTTCTATGACATACTTGTCTTATACGCACTCCATCTTCTAGTTGTGTATGTTAGAACAATAAAATATATATTTCATTATTTTATTTGATGTTACTTAAACGTTTGGTACTTAGGGCCTAAGTGTATTTTCTCAATGGAAGTGTAACGTAGTTATCAGATAAATAGAATCCCATATAAAAAGTACATTAGATGTAAACATAATGTCAGCTTCATGTTCATACAAAGTTAGGGCGCGGACACACTGCGCTCGGCTCTCTTGAGAATGTTTCATACATCTCGGGAGTCATGAATGTGTAATATATTTTTCTAAAATCAATAAAGAGTGATATTGATTATGTTCATATTGTTTAATTTTTTATCCCCTAATTTTATTTATTTTTATTTGAAAATATTTTTTTTGGAATATTGACAAGTAGTTTATAGGTTAATTATGTGGAAGCTATTTTATAATTTTTCGATTCTCAAGGAGTGGCAACGAACGACCTTGACGACGGCGATCTCTCGTTTGGTCAGTTTAAAGGTAATAATACGACATTTTGTAATGCAAACATGCAGTTTATTCAAGTATAAAATTAGTAATCCATACAAAACATGAGATTCAAAGTATTAATGTTAATACATTATAGACTAGATATTTTAATTGCAAATTTACAATTATTATTGATAATTCGTAACTTTCAAACAAGGAAAGCTGACAAAAGCGCTGTATAAGTGCCAAGTATTATGTGTAAATACATAATTATTTGCATAAAACCTTTATTCAGTTTTCAAAAAAATGTGCATAAAAGAAATGTATACAATAATAAAATTAGCAATAAATAAATAATATTTACATAAACATTGACTTTGTAGCGTTATCTATCTTAAGTGCTATTTATTACAATTTAATCTTAATATTGGTATAATAATTATCTAGTTTAATAAATCTAACTGGCCAGGTTCATGAGTTAACGATATGTTTAGTTCAGTCTGTATCAACACTTAAAGCATGAGGCTTATTTTTTACTGTTTTTTCTAACTTTATTGAAAATGCGCTTTAACATAGTGATTTAGAGTTCAGAGTCGCTTTTAGCCCCGGATTTCCTCGTAGTTTTGCGCATTACAGGAGGCGCTGCACTTTTGCTGCGTGGTTTCCTGCGTATCTTTCTCCGCATTTTGCGAAGCTTTCCCCCGGCGTGCGCGGGCGCCGCGTGTCGCGTCACTTTTGTCTCTATCTCCAGCTTTAGACGCGCAAACATGTCGTAGTTTGTGATAGCACACATCATACCTATAAGATTAATATAAAATTCTACTTATTTTTCTTTACAGTTAATAAAATATTAATTTTTGGATTTAATATGAAAAAAAAAATTTTTCGAAAACATGAATCAACTACGGACATTTACGTTTTGTTTTGTTAAAAAAAAACATTAAAACCAAAGTGCATTATACTTTACCATTACAATACTCTTCACCGCACTCTGCACAAGACAATATTCTCGTTTCCGTGACGCCTGATCGATTTTTCGTTTTTTTCACCATATTGTTTTTTGCGTACTCCCTCTTGTCTCGAGCCTTGGTTCTTAATTCCGATTTCCGTAATTCGATCAGCCTAAAAACATTTATTATTGATTCTGTTGAATGAATACTAAAGAATTGTGTTTTGTTTACTTTTTACCTTACCTATTAAAGTATTCTTCGTCTAATTTGGATTTTGGACGTATTGATGTGAGCATTCGCCACTCGATCGGTACGGAACACAATTCTTCAAATTTCAATTCCCGCATTTCCACCGGTACTGGGTCCATAAATGTAAAGTGTTTATCTTCGTAACCACGGGTTCCAAGTTTTTCATATGCCCTTATTTCTTTCTTTGGGGTTTTGGTTTTCTGATCTTCCGGTCTGTCTTTTATTTTAATATCTTCTGCTCTCACCTATAAATGCAAATACAGCTTAAGCACGTAAACAGCAGAATACAAAAACACACGAAAAATCTTAGTAGACATACCTTTTCGGGCCTTGTCTTGAACTCCGGGACTTTATCAAGAACAGCTCTGTACTCCTCTGCTGTGTTGATGGTTGTTTTAGATAAATCCAACATGGGCGCTTCATCTTTCTTTTTATCAAACAAATCATCTAATTTCGACATTTTTACTTTGACTTCTCCAAGACAGTCCAACACGAACTGAGTTTATCGATTTAACTTTCTTTGGCCTATTCCTTAGTAACAGTTGGGTCGATATTAAAATTGACGTAGTTAACCTAATTTTAAGTACATATTGCACGACCGGCTACATAAATTTAAGTGCACTTAGTTACTATTATTTATTGTGCTAATTATACCTATTAGTCTTAAGATTTCAGTTTAACAAAATTGTCTTGTTCTTCGTTACTAACTATATCTCTTTTGAAAATATTGAATTTATCGGCGTTTCGTTTAGGATTTTCGACTTCGAGATACTTGGAACCTCTTTCGCTGACGTCATCCATCCACAACTTTCTTGTACCATACTTATCATTTATAAATTTTTGTGATAGTGTCAGCCTTTTCGGTAATTTATTATGCTCTAATCTTTCTCCTGTAATTTGATCTAACGAACAGAATTCCGGTACATCAGTACTCGGACCTCCTGCATTGTTGTTTCTACTATCCGAATTTGATAATTTATGTCTCCAGTAAGATTGACTTAAGGAGTTACGCTGCTTAAAACTACCTTCTGCTATTTTGTCAGATCTAGTAGGAGGGCTAGGTGACCGACTGTCGTCACTAGACTGTGACATGTATTGTCTCGCTTGCGGCCGGTGCTTTTGACGTACTTTTCGTTTCTGACTATAGAAAGGATCTTTTTCACTTTGTTTTTTATATTGTGCTACTGGTTTATTAGCACCCCACTTGGGACGATTTTCTATATCTTTTTTGTACCTCTCTTCCGATCGTAGACGTCGATCTTTCTTAAAAGTGCCCCGGCCACCGTCCTGCGGTGCGTTTTCATCGATATTAGGATAGTCTTTGTCTATATCTCTCTCAATATCAATTGTTTCAACATTTTTATCTACTTTGTATCTTAACAGATCTGCCTCGGTTTGTGTAAATGCATCTTTTGTCCTAAGAGTTCGATATTTTTGAGGAGTTATAATTTTCCGTCCCTCTAATATATCATTATTGTTAAGAGGATTAACTGATACATTGTATAAATTATTGTTACTTAGATTTTGAGGTACTAAAACTGCTAATTGTAGGCTGTTGGGTTGTGTACTTACTATTTCTCCATTTCCATTAATACCTAAAGGAACGATATTGAACTGATTATCTGCAAGTGCGATTGGAGGTATATTATGAATAAATAAATTAACATTACCAGCACCCATCGGTCTAGGTGAGTTAAATGCAGTTGATTGTCGGGAGCTACAATCTTTCTTTTGACTTTTAGGCGAATGAATATCATACGTTCTACTACTTTTGGTAGGACTTATCAGATCATTTCTTTGGGGTTTTTCTACGGTTACATTTTCACACAGTTTTGGGTTTTCATCTTCAAACACGCTTTCTGTTGAATTACACATTTGTCTATGACATTTAAATTTTTTCTCCTTTTCATTTCGTGCTTTCCTTTCCGCATCTTCGAGCGCCTTTTTAAGAGCGTCTAATTTGCGTTGCTCCATCATTTGCTTTTCTTCATGTTTTCTTTTTTCTTCCTCCATTTTTAGTCTATCCTCTTCTTGTTGTCTTTTTATTCGTATTTCTTCTAAACGATCTTCTCTTAATTGTCTTTCTCTTTCTTCTTGACGCCTTTTTTCACGATCTTCTAATTGATTTAATATAGCAGACTGTAATTCTAAAGCTTTGGTTCGCTTGTTTTCCCTTTGTGCTCGTACTTCTGGTTCTAAAGGTACGTTTTGACCTCTGAGGAAAGTTCTGAAAAAATGTTTAAGAACCAACGTTTTTATATAGTATTGCATTTTACATGGTTAAAGATAGGATACTTACTTTCCTTCTTCGCTTCCATTACAGGAAGATCTATCACAGTCCAATCCAGAGTTAGTTGAGCTTCTCTGGTCGACGACAAGGACATCCGATGTGTTATCCAACATGTTTAATCCTCGTTCCACCCATGATGGTGTACCCTTCTTTTGAATTTGCATCTATGAATAAAACAAAACGTATAAAAATAAATTACATAATTTCGCTCATTTATTATCGAGATATCGATATATTATATAAGAACCTGTGGCAGTCTCGCAGTAGGCGCGGTAGGCTCCCAGAGCCGGCCTGTGGCGACGCCGCGGTCCCCCCAGCGCGGCCGGCCCTCCTCAGGCGCGGGGCTCCGCGTTGACCACGTGCTATCAATTGCTGTTGTCCCACCACGGACACTTACGTTTTGTTTTCTGAAAAAAAAATTACTAAACATAATTTTTACATAGTAATCGGCTAAAATGTATGGTCAATTAAGACTATCGAATTGAGATTACTGACATGCGAACATTTAACCTTTTATTTAATTCACTGAGGTCTCTGAATCAAGTTTTGATCTTTTTTAACTAGGGTTTTAGATAGGATTTTGGAGCAAACGTAAACTAAATGGTTATGCAATTTTTATCTAGTTAAAAAATGTAGCAACATTTTGGATATTAAGTAGTGTGACAAAGAATCCGTCATGCGAAAATGTGTTTAAAGCGCCATGAAGGTGACGACAATATGCTGTAAAAAACGCAGTAGTAAATTCAAGGTTATTACTATGGTATGGTTTTAATAAGAGTTTTTTTTTCATCTTGAATTCATCAAAAAGGACAATGAAAGATTTAATACCAATAATAATTAGCATATATAATACATATTACTAATATTATAAATGCGAATGTTAGGATGTATGGATGGATTGATGGATGGATGTACGTTAGGAGGTATCTCCAGAACGACTGCATGGATCTAACTAAAATTTGACATAGTTATAGAACATAATCTAGAAGAACAAATAAGCTAAATAAAGATTTTTTAACCCCGCGCAGACGGAGTCGCGGGCGACAGCTACTAAAATTATAAACGTAGATGTATAACACTAAATTACTATTGGCTATTTTCAGACCATTAGAAATTAGAATGTAATTAGAATTTTGATTTATTCTTTACGGTACTTATGTAGACTATTATTATGACCGCATTGCGTGTTTTCTGAACATAAAGTTAAGGTGCGTTTCGGAAAGCTAGACATTTTTGTTCAGAACATGGAAGCAGGAATCGGATGAAAGAATTGCATGAATGAGGAAAAAACGTAATAATGTTACATCGAGTGTCTCTTTTTTACATTTGGACCAGAAAGAGATAGATCGCCAAATCATTGGAGAGTATATGCAACACTATGAGAAACATAATAGGCAAAATGTTTTTGTGAGTACACAAGAAACTGTTTCATTTTGATTCACATTGTAAAAGTCAATGACCTGCGAGCTTAAAAATCCTCACCTTCTTTAGTTAACTATTTTTATCGCTACAACAAATATTTTACTTTTTACGAAGTTCAAAATTAGTATCTAAGGCTGAAATTTGTAGTTGATACTTGTACTTTGCTTAAACTTATCTTACGAGTTTGAAATTGATAGGCTTAACTTAGTACCGATCCTTACTTTAAAACTTTATTCTAAAAAAATTACGTACCTGTTTTCTTTACCATCTTGTTGCCATGCTACAACAGGATTGCGATCGCTGGTTCCATTTTGATTTCTAATATTCATATGATTCACAGTTTCACTTCCGTAGCCGGAAGTGTCTCCTTCGCCGTCTTCGTCGTAAAACGAAAACCTTTTTGCACTCGAAATATTACGATTTAAAACCTCTTTGTACCTTCGATCTTCTTTTATTTGTTTTCCGGCGTCTATTTGATGTATCGGCGGTAAGCTGGGGCTTCTCTGTCGTTGCACCGGCTCTTGATATTCGTATGAAGACTGCTTGTGTAACTCAAGTGAGCTCGCAAATTGGTTCCGTACTTGTAGACGAGTTGTGTATCTCTCCCCGGCACCCCACGGTAGATAAAGCTGGGACATCTCTTCTGCAAAATAAAAAGTTAACAACTGCATGAGCACTTCAAAGTTTCAAAATAAAAATAGGAAATTAAGTCGACCGCACCTTCCATGTCGATGGTTCAAGACTGAGTTATTCTAAAAGAAACGTAACAAAGAATTCCCCCTGATTATAAACGAAGGGTTTTTTTTTTAAGTTTTATCGATACGCGTGCTAGGTTAGCGGCAAGACGTCATGCATAGCAATTTCTATTCATAGTTAAAACCGTGATTGTGGTTTTTATGGAGCACAATTTAACCCCATTGATAAACACAATGAAACTCTTATTATTAACACTTAATATGCGTGTTTAAAGAGGTTAAGAAAGTATTATATTATATTTTAATCAAGTTAATAGCTAGTTGTGCCATTTCGAGAATTAACTGCATGGGAAAAAGAAACGTGCGTTTAAAATAGACTTTTAATATTACTAACTTGGAATTCCAACTTTAGCATAAATTGGCTATTACGTTAATCATATTTTCAAATTACATGAAAATATATTTATATCATTAAAAGTACATGCTCAAATAACAACACGCTGCATCAACAAACCTGCATGCTGATGCATGAAGGCCTTGTTTTTGTTCTTTGTTTATAATTATTGGTCTTGGCTGAATTGTTAAACAAGATATAACAGTAATAATGTTTCCTTTGAATGCTTTAAAGCTTTTACGGGTTTATTTTAGACTTGCTCTGTCACTTTCTTGTACAACACATAATAATTTTATTACACGCAAACAAAGTTGCTTTTCAGTAGCAATAGTTATGACCCTGTCAATTGTAAATGATGTTCGTCTTTTGCCAACACACACACACACGCATTTGCTACATACATTTTTAATAACTGTGTATGTTAAAATAATGAACAACAGCTTTTGTAGGTTACAATTTTTTAAATATATATCGACATACCGTCCCGCAACTCCGTCCGCGCGGAATACAAAAAATAATTTAAATAGCGTATGTGTTCTTTCTGACTACACCAAATTGCATTAAAATCCGTAGAGCCTTTTTAACAAACATCCATCCATACATCGAAACATTCTCATTTATAATACTTATAATTTACTACGCTATCTATATTTCTATTATTAAAAAATGAAAAGATACGCACCTTTATTTTCGCGACATTTTTACGGAATCGCAATAGCTATGATCACGGCGTCATTATGTGATGCAACGTTGTCATTGCTAGGCCGTGTTTCAACATCTACCCTCATTTGATATTATTTTTGTTGGTGTTACGTTTTAACTGCAATTAATTTAGCCTAACGTTAAAATTTTATTATTTTTAAATATTTCATTACGGCCTTTAGGCACGAATTCAGCTTAAATATAGACACTGGAATCATATAATTTACAAATATTAGTATAAAGAGTTGAATTTTCTTAAAAAACGTTCAACAAGCCACTGCATGTTCATAATTTCTCTAATATTTTAAATCAATGTTTAAAATGAAAAATAGTATTTTTTTACGAAATCCCATGTTACTGGAGTTAAGTTCGCAGCTTAGTGTTAAAACTACTTTTAAAATTGTCGCTTATGTAATTATCATGTGGATATTACGTCGGATTACTGTGCTTTACTTTCTAAACACCAGCAACCATTACAAACTAAAATAACGTATAGTAGATTTCGGATATCTTGATGGCTCTTAATTTCGCGCGAGTCGGCGCAGAACACAGTTATAGGGCGTAGGATACTGGGGGAGGGCACTGCGCAAAGCGCCGATGCCTTCGGGCCGCTAAGTTATTTGAAAATAACTATACAGTGCTTGCTCTCAAACATTCATGTCACCTACCTCTTACAAGTAGCAGGTCTACTTATACCAAGGGAATAAAAAATCAACAAATTTTATGTAATTTTTTTGTTTCTTTCCTAACACATAATAAAAAAATGACTTCTTTTCAGCTTATTATGCTAAGTCAAGTTAAATTTGTACCCAACAAGGAAACTAAGTAAAACCGGTAAAATTATTGTACTCTTAAGTTAGTGTTATTGGTTAAAGTAAGTCTATACCTGTGGTTAAGTCGTAACTATGTTTATGTAATTATGCTTTCTATGTTAGTGTTACATATAAAACTATATGAACAGTTCATACGTTCTAAGCAAGAAATCCCGCCATACTGAATTAAATGTCATTTCAAAATACAAACTCATCCAATTATCATAATTTTTGCATTGCCATTTTGTAAAATCGTCGAGAAAGTCATAATTTTGTTGCTGTTGTTTCATTCAAAAGGTGTTGTTTAAAATTTATATTGGCTAAACTTTTATCAACACTTAAATAATCAAAGAATGGAATTAGAAAAAAAGATTTCTTTTTTCTTTACGTACAAGACAATGACAGAAAAAAGTTGTGGATTAATTGCAAACTGTTAATGTAATTATTTAAAAAAGTAGGATTGCAGCCATTACTTGTCTGTGGCTATCGCATTTTCCCGCCACGCTCTCTTGCGCCTGCACAGAGCTAACAAGCGCAGAGTAATTTGTTTTATTTTAACGCAACAGCAAGCTTCAGTTGCTTATGCAATGAGAGTAGCAATACTAAATTGTAAATTTCCCTTTTTATATATGTATGTGCTTGATACTTAGAAAAATGTTGCAAATTAGTCACGGTTTTAATCATACTGTACGAAATTAATCTGTACACTAAACATTTTAGCAATTTATTTCAAAAGCTACATTTAAATGTAGGCTGTCTTACACTCTTAAAACATACTAATACAATAACAACTCACTTATCACGAACAGATGCTATTAAATAAAAAAATCAAACAATTTAACAAAATAAATTTAAATTTGTTTCTTGCTAAATTATAAAAATGAACGTACCTTAAAAAATACTAAAATCTATTAACTACTATTTATTAAATATTCATTGAATTGTTTTACAATAGTAAAATGAAAATAGGATTGATATTTTGTTGGTTATAATTACATTAAATAAGTTTACAAAATATCAACAAGCGTTGTATTGATCTAAGTCTTCTTGCATTAGTTATGTAGTTCATTGCTTCAAACCTTGATGTTAAATTGATTGATGCGTAATTGTTTATCGTTCACAAAAAATAAACACATTATTCTTTTCGTATCAATTGATATTGATATACAGATAGACAAAGATTAATGTTTATATATGTACAACTAACTGTCGTCCGCGACTCTGTCCGCGGAATAACAAAAAACAATATTGGTAGCCTCGGTGTTCTTTCAGAGAAGATTCTATATGTATGATAAATTTCATCGAAATCCGTTCAGCCGTTTCTGTTCATTCTTCCATCATCTAAACATTCGCATTTATAGAAGTAGTTTAAAAATGTTAAGATGTTTTTGGGTCATGTTGGACATTTATAGAAACTAATATTTAATGGTAATCAGCTATATTGATCCAATTAAATAAATAAGGCCGGTTTAACCTTTGGAATTATTGAATAATTGTTTTTTTCGAAGGCAAAGTCGCACGCAAAAGCGAGTTACATACACACATACTCGCAGAGGTATTTTAAATAATATTAATATTTCGCAAAAAAAAGTTCATCATAGTTTTTGTAAACTATATTACCACTACTTCTTTACTTCGAAGGTGTTTTGCCATTGGAAACCCACCATGCAAAAGGCTTACGTATTTAAAAAGATTTGACATATCTTTCATGGATTTAGAATATTTTTGTAGTATTCATGAAACGTGTTAAAATGTATAAAGTGGGTATAATATGTAAACTTACACAGTTAATATTCATTTGTGGAATTTTATTCTTAACGAGACACAAATGTTTATATGGAGTAGGCACGTTCTGCGTGTGATATAAAAATATTTGCCAGATGAGATATCGTTTTATGCCTTTCTAACTTCAAGGTATTTTTTCTAACTCAATAAATCTTTCTTAATTAACACTTGATACGATTAAAAGGAAAAATAGTAAAATAACTAAAAAAAAATAACAATATAAAACACGAAGGCTATTGGTAAAAAAAACTATATATTGAAATTGTTACGTACATACCTATAATGAAATAAAATCTCGAATACAAATTTAATTGGCTGTTACGTGCAGATGCCAAAATACTGGCATCTGACACGGCACCGGGCGGCTGAACGAATGTAAGGTCCACGGAACCACGGCCGTGAGTACGCACTCGACTGAGTCTCGACTAAATACTACAAGTGCTGTGTGATTGCAGGGGCGCGGTACGCACCTCTCTCTCTCGCCCACTGCTGCTTCTTCTGCTGCACCAGAGATGCCGGCTTGCTCACCGACAGCATAGCACCGCATCACCCGCCTGACAGCACTCGCCACTCGTCTCGGTATTGCTCACTCACACTGTGACGCGTTGCGCTCGCGGTGCACCGGCTAATGAGCACTCCGGAGTGCTCTTCACAAGCGACCGCCCGCGCATCGCCGGCCGCCGCGCGTCGCGCTTCGCTTCGCGCGTGCACTCATTGTCCGTGCCTGCCGGCTTGCGCGTCGCAGATCTGATTCAAAATCCCACGGATAACAATGTATTTTACTCTTTTTTGTCGAATAACGGCGCGTCACCTACATCGACCGCTCTCACATTATTACGTGCATTACGATAATACCGATCGCGGCGAACGGTAAAGTACGACTGTCTCGACGTCTAGACGTTTAGTCCTTATTTCAGCGCGTGTCACGCAAACGTGAACGCTTCAGAGGAAAGCCTCGGAAAAGCCGGCGGTCGATATTGTAGTTATGGCAACGTTTGTTTCACGTGCCTGCAAAGAAATAAGGTTTTCTCTCATTTGAATTCTAGGCCACCGGGTGGGTGATATATGGCTACAAAATTTGGGGTGTTTTAATAGTCAAAATTTTTGTTTACACTGAATATCGCGTGATTGCCCGCGAGAGTGCATAAATACATTCAGTTGAAAGTCAAGCAGTCCTCGCTTGTGCCAGAAGCCGAGACATTTGATGAATAAGAATGAGAACAATGAAAGTGTTCAGCGCGTCGCGTACATTATGGATCAAGTTAATGATATACAATGCAATTTACATGAGCGTTTATAAAATTTGGAATATGGTTTTATTTTCATTATGACGTTATTAGAGCGTACATAATTTTTGGACAAATCGTCCTATTTAAGTGTTGAGCACGCTTTCATATTAACACGTCCATTTATGTAAGGCAGTTTTATTTCAATAAAAGCTAACTTTTCTCCCACTGTTGGGGGTTTGCTAAATTGTACTATTATACATAATATTAGTAACGAGTTTCGGCTATTCTTGTATATATATTCATCCCTAGTAAAATTTTGACGCTAGAAAATGTTAAGGTCGCGAAAGTTAGTCGTTTCTCCAGGTATTTACATAAAGACATGTAACTATATTTGCTGAATGCTTTGCTTGTTTCCATAAGTATTCGTAGTGATTTATGTTAGAACGACACTAGCCGTGACATTTCCGTCTTGTCGTCGACTTGTGGCAGGGGTGAAGTCACATACCTATGTTGCGAAGTGGGTCAGTGAAAACAACGACCCTACCAGCCTGCTTGTGCCACGTCACCATCACGTGTTTCATACGTATGCGTCATTTAGCTATTTTTGTACACGACCAAAAATTAATTATTTACAGAATATTTGGGCAGGTGACCTTTACGGGTCGGGCCTCGTTTATAAATGCCTGTCCTTTTGTTTGGTTTTCAGCACAGGAAATAAGCATCGGCCATTTTGGCAAAAGCATCACATTTTTGCTCGTTTTCAAAACATGTCCGAAAATGGATCCTATAATATAACAAAATTTCTACATTCTTGATGAATAAATAGTTTGATAGCCGCAAACCATCAATATCGACATTTATGTAGCATAAGAAGGGAAAAACAATTAGGCCTCTTTAGCAGTAGTAGTACTGTGAAGTAATGATAGGTGTGTGCCAATTATTTTTATATAGATATTTTTAAATAAGACAAAGATTAAGAGCTAAATACTTATTTATTACTTAATATTAAGAGGGAATCAATTTAGAATGCATATCTGGTTCTAATGTCTTCAAGTTTTTTGGAGACCTCAGCGGGCGTGCGCTCGAGGTCGCCCGCTATCGCCTTTTGCTTGGCCGGCTCCAGGGAGTTGAACTGCTCGCACAGATCACCGTCTATTACGTTCTGTAACAATAGCTATTTACTTAGTCTCAAGGTAGACTCAAATGTTCACACAACACACTAGAAACATTGAAAACATTTTTAATTTGTACAAATCTAGTTAGAGAATTAAATTAGCTTCCCCTTAGATTCGAGTCGCTGCCAGTAAACTGGCATATGAAAAGTATACAACCTACTTTTACTATGTGATATATCTGCTACATATTTGCAGGTTTGCGATATTAAATAATTCTTATATAATGATATAAATGTACATTCCAAATACTACGGACATGCGGACGTGGGCGCGTGTCCGACTCTCAGGAAGTGGGCGTGCGGGGCGCGTTGTGCGGTCGCCAGTACGACGGTGCCGCGCGCCGCGCCCCCCGCGCCTGCTCTACCAACAGTGTAACACAAGCACGCTGACACACGCACCTGTTGACTTACTGTGGATACTACCTAATAACACAGCTCAGCCTAGTTACTTAACATACCTGAAAACTTATCTCGAGAACTAAATGCCACATTTCTGAAACATTATTTCTCATTTCGACTTCTTAAGATAATGTTTGAGTTTACCTTCACTGGATAATAGTAGCTTCTGAATGAGAGATGATCGCGTCCACACAACGGTGAGTTCTCACTGCGCATGTGCATCTCCAGGTGCTGGAAGAAGTCGTGGTCCTCCCTGGAGGTGAAGGGCAGTAGTACACCGAGTGCCCCGCTGATGGTGGCGTACAGCAACGCCTCAGACCCACCCGGTATCAATGTAGCACGTTGTAAAGACGCGACAGTTTCTCCGACGTGGAAGTTCACAACTATTTCTCCCTTCTGCGACGCACCATTTAATAAACCTAAAAAAAATTACGAGTATTTATAAAATTGTATTGTTGGAAGGCGTATTTGAGTAATTTAAAATGTGTTCAGAATATGAAGGTAATCATGAATTTTCATTAGTCTAGCATGTGTTAATTTGTGGTATCATCATTGAAATTAGAATGTTTGGATAGCAATGTCAAAGTTCTGCTGCTATAAACATTTTAGGTAAATTCAAAATGCTAATTGATATTTGCTGTTACGACTTACCTCTATCCCACAACGCCTTGTTCCCAGTGGGGTCCTCATCAACGTCATCGCTCACGGAATGCGGCAGTCTCATCACAGACACGTTGCCAAACTTGTCAGACATCGCAACCGTGTCATAATCCAGTACACAAGTGTTTGTTATCCATCTAGGATTTGTGTCGTCAGCAAATATGATCAATTGATTCTCTCTCTTCTTATATTTAACACAGAATACTGATTCCTGTACATCGGCGACAAAAATTCTCTGTCCAATAGTTTTAATGTCGGCAATTAGATTTGGAATGTGTCGATTTTCGCATTTACGCAGCAGCTTCCGGCGACCGATGTCGTACATCCTCAACATGCGGCCCACGCCGGCCATCAGTTTGCCGTTGAACGCGGCCAACGCTCCGGGATAGTCATCAATCGGTGTTTTATGGACCAGCTCCAGTTTACCAGTATTGGAGAATATCTAGAACAACAATTTTATTGTTACAACATTAAATATATACAAACTAAAAATAAAAAAGAGAATCTTAGTAATCCATTTCTAAAGTACAACTTACCTTGTAGACATGCAGACTGCCCTCTGTACAAGATCTGGGCGATAGTATCATATCCTTGGCGACGCCGACTACGAGATGCGGTATGCCGAGGAACGCCTGGGCAGTCCAGTGCACGATGCACATAGACACGGCCGCCTCGTTCTGTTCCAGTGGCAGCTTGTACACTGTGCCCGGCTGGCCGCCGCTTACCCCCATGTCTATCACGCGGATCTGAGACGCCCACATACCTGTTACAAAAGGAATGGATATAAAACCTACTTTAAGAGCTCAAGCATTACTAAAACGTCTAAATTTCGTATGGGTACCAATATTTTTAAAATCAACTATTAAGAACTTTATTTGGTGTTGTCCGCGCCCGTGACTCCGTCTATGCGGTATTAAAAAAAAACTTAATATATAGCCTATGTATTCTACATCTATGCCAAATTTCAGCAAGATCCATGCAGCCGGTCTGGTGATACCTTCAAACAAATATCCATCGATCTCTTCATCTAAACATTAACATTTATAATATTAGTAAGATTTATTTGTATCCTTTGCTTGAATCAAATGACTTACACAAGTCATCTGGGATTAACGCAAGGATTTGTTATTGCCACAATCGATTAGAGCGAGCATGTTCGTCGACATAGTCCACCCTTGCCCAGAGAATGTGGCTTACTAATGTTCAGATATTGAACCCACCTGCACCAGCTTTTGGTGAAGAGAATACATTTTCTGGCAGCACATCTGATAGAAAGGCGTCTGCCATTTCGTTGGCTAACTGTTGTTCCTCAGGACCTCCGCCGGCCGCTGCTTCACGCATTTCTTGTGCCATTTGGACTCTGAAATAAATTACGCCATTTAGTAAAAAACAAGAGTATATATAGTGCAATTTGTATTTTAAAATGTAATCAGTACTGCAGGAGTATCTACATTGAAATTCAGGATTTGTGTGTAGAGTGGTCATCATTAGAAGAATTTAAATATTAGGATAATTATTTTTTATACTTTTTCAAATTAATATAGAAATATAATCAATCTTAAACTTGTTTTGTTATCTTTTCAATATTTTTTTAATTACCTTCTTTGCTTTTTCATTTCCTCGGTGTAGGCATTGTGATCAGTCTCCAATACAATAATATGATTGCTGTCAGAGTTGACAACAAACTTCCGAGGAGTATAATCTAAGGGCAAGTAAGTCTGGTTGAACACGGCGCCCAATTTCTCCAGTGCAAGAATTCTTAGGGTATTTGAAGAGATAGCGACAATACCTTCCGCGCATTGTTCTATGAAGAAAACATTCATGTTAAATATAGTTTAAAAAAAAAAAACATAGTTCACACGTAAATAGAGTAGAAATCATTGCTTTGCATTAATCAAAACGAAGAGATTGCTTTTTGAAAATTGTTTTTTTTCTGTTAAATACTGACATTATAGTTTTTGACTAAAAAAAATACGTTTTTATAAGTTTTATGTGTTTGTCCACGGCATGGTTTTGCCACCTTCACAGTCAGAGCGACTCCAGTTAGGCTATGGAATATGCCGAGTGCCGGTCTCGACCGCAAGCGGGAGACCGACATGATCTGCGACGTTGTGGGCACATCACTGCACTGACAGCTACGCTCCACTCTCACATGTACACACCCGAAGGCACGTCCATGCAAACACGTCGGTAATAATAACTTATAACAATATTATTCAATGTAATAATTACCTGAACTAAAACCGGCCGCATACTCCAAACATTCATATGAAAGAGGTGTTAAATGGAACCGATTTTGATAATGATATCCCAGCCAAGTTCTAGAGGACACTGCT